TGACCCGTCGATGCATGGACTCCACCAGACCTCTGAAGGTGGGCCTTGGTCTCTGGCACCAAGACATTAGCAGCAGTGAGAAGAAACGCCATTATTATCTAACATACAACCAAACAGTCAATGAGCAGTAGAGGAAAAAATCTTTCCATACCAGGAAGATAACCAGAGCTGACCACGCAATGACTCCCCAAAGACTGCATCAGTGCTCTACCCTGAATCTGAGTAACACAAGCTTGGACACATTTCACAAACACTTACAGCTGAGCTGACTGAAACCCCAGGAGAAGCCTGGCGCAGTGCAGAGAGGCATGGGTGGTCATGCTAGTGTCCTAAGGCATCTGTTGATCTGAAATAGAGAGAAACTGAACACAGGCCTGGTTCTTAGAGCCATGATGTACAATGGATATAAATGAGTAGTTGGTGGTCAGGACCAGAGGTAAAAATGCAAACCTAAAGTACATTTTCCAGCTTGTTTGGACTGCTTGATATCCCATAATACAAAATCATCAGCTGTTAAACTGCCCCTATAGCTAGAAGTAAGATAGCAGTAAAAATGTCATATCCCATGATGCCGACCTCTCGGAGAGACAATAACAGAATTTCTGCTAGTCTCATATTAGTGATCTGTAAGACAAAATCTCCATCAGGGTCCCGTAAATGCCTCGCCTGTGGTTTGCTCAGGCCACTCGGCCCAGACTTGGCTGTGCAACAACATTACAGGTGGCACCAGGTTGTCTGAGTGATCACTTCAAGGCTGGTCAACCCGGAAACCAGCCCCGCCAGCCTTCATTGATTTAGTCAGTAACCCATCTCAGCTCCCAGGCTCAGCTCTGCACAGGGAGAGGGAGAGAGGGATGAAAATGATGGGAAGGGAGAGGTGATGTGATGGATGGCCCCTGACAAGAGCCTAACTGGTCACCTGGAGGCGTGGAAAAAGGAAGGAAGGTGTGGAAAAAGAAGCGTGAGAGGGGGAGTGAAGGATAAATCCCATAGCAGTTTACAGTGTTTTTGTGATCCTGCAGCACTGTGAGTTGAACGTCAGGTGCCACCGTTTTTATTAGTGTGTCATTACTGAATGGTTAAAAGTGTGAGCCAAGGAGAGGACGGCGATGTGCAGTAAATGCGCTTTATTTTTTTGAGAATTATTTGCATGATCACCATTCTGAGTCACAAATTAAACCATTGCAGGCAGTCAACGCCGTTGGCATGGTGATTTCTTAGCTTAGCTTTCTGCATTAGGGCCAGCTAGCTGTATAAAAAGGCCCAAAATGTGATCACATGTAACTGAAACGAATAAAAGACGTGACTCGGAAGTGTGCTGAATGTGGTCACACAGGTTCTCATGGGATACTGCAAAAGTCTGAATCTTGAGGTGGGTGTGGTCACTGCATGGCGCATTACAGGAAGAACCATCAATTCTGGAGCAGACAGGGAACACTTAACATATCAAGCAGGGCTGTGCATACAGCATGAGCAGATACGCCCGTAAAAACACTCATTAAACCACCAGACTATTCAGTCTGAATTCAGTGTGTTTCTCCCACTCCTTCTTGCTTCCTGAACAGTGCCATACCTCTGCATTCAGCCAATTATTAGGTGTATGCGGACATGTTTCAAGTTGATTTAACAGCTGAAACCACAGCCGGGATGTGGCTGCTGACTTGACACGCCCTGAGACACACAGAAGTAAAATGACAACTGCATCAGGAGGTGTCCATCTACCACACACACCATTCTGTTCATTTGAAATTGCATGTGCATGAATCATTAAATCGCTCTATTTAGAAACGGTCAGGATAGCTTGGCAACAGCAATCAGTGACGCTCATGCTTCCTGCTCCTTTAAGAAGGGCCTTTCCAACACATTGCTGATCACATCGCACACAAATACAAGTGTGCTAAAATTCAGTGTCTCATCACAGTCATCTGTACATATTCCTCTAGGGAGGAGATGGTGGTGTCATATGGAATTCTTCCTTAGATTTAGAAATACCAGTACAATTTGATTTTTCCCAGGATGTCCAAATGTGGTATGTATTGCCATTTTAAGCAAGTCACCAATCCCAGACAAGTTGGCTTTTCTGCATGGGAGCCTACTGTGTGTGGTGAATTTGCTCAGAAGCAGGTTACTGTGGGTTACCAAAGCTGTGTCTTAATTTGTGCTCTTGCACACTCACACTTGCGGTTTTGAGTGCATAAGTGAGTTCACACACAAGTATGGCAAAATGCAGTGCACTATGAACACCCGGATGGTTGACTCATAACGGTCAAAAGGCTGGAAAGCTGGACACTTCTTGCCATCAATGGTTGCCATCTTGGCTGCCTAGCAGAAGGGGAGGGACCAACAACCTCTTTTTAAACAGCAGCTGGCGCGATTGCACACACAAGCAAGTAAATGTGTGTTGATTTTTATTCTATATAACTGAACTGAAGCCAAGTTATCTTGTATACTACATTACATCACATCAGCTTGGCTGGAACAGGTATTGTGCCAGAGGGCACGCCTGTGATTAATTATTTATTTTTATATAAGGAAAGGGGACACACCATCAGTTTCTTTAACCTTTAGTTACTATCTTTCACTCTTTTAGTTACTTTTTAAAGCAATAATTCCGAAAGTTGATAGAAAAGAATGATTTAAAAGACGGCGCTTTCGCCACTAATGAGTAAAATTCTGTAGGCTGTGACTTAGGGCATTTTCACTAGTGTAACTTGGAAATTGGGCTGCTCGTCATACCAGAAATAGATCATAAGATTGTGATGTTTTTTCCCGCTTCAGTAATATCTGCTGCCTCCCCTTCCACACAGCTCCACTCGCTCACCAGAGCAGCTCCAGCCTCTTTGCACATCTGAAGCACAGCAGCCTTCAGTGTTGATTGCCCATTACTGGTGACGTGTAAAGCCTAGTTCACACTACACGATTTTAAGCCCAATTTGCTGGTCGGAGAGCTCGGTGACCATCGGGCTGTGATCAGGGGCAAATCAGCGATCGATCGGCGATCGCCAGTCGTCAAAACAGCTCCAAGACACATTTCTGACACATTGCCGACGTCTGTCAGATGTCTAGCATGCCAAATATCTGGGTTGGTGTGTAGGTTCGTTTCCTGTTTCACAATTGACATGTATTTTCTTGACAAAACGTGGTTTGGAGACCAGCGTCGGGTGACACAGCCGCTGTCAGCTCGTGTAGTGTGTGTGACCCCCTGTCCCCGATCAGTCACCTAGTGTGAATGCCACAACGACTTCAGACTTCCGTCACAAGACGGCAAGTCGTGTAGTCTGCACGAGCCTTTACCAAATCACATGGTGCTCTTTCAGTAACCCTGGTGGGGCCATGTGTTAACAACCGAGACACGATACCAGTGTTGCTGAAGAAACTATTTCATTTTGTCAAAGGAAAAATAAAATACTTTTCGATCTCTCATGAAGTGGACCCAAACTAAACTGTAACCCAAGTTTGACGTGGTCCTGAACCCCTCCTAGTCAGGGATACACGAGTGATTCTGTTGTCACCTACACTTGACTTCACGTCAGCTAACAAGTATGGCAGTACAACAATCTAAAGTTTGTTATCTAAACACAAGGCCTGTGCAGCAATGAAAACTGTAAGCCAGTGACAGACTGAATGGTACAGTGAAGTTTAGGTTAGGAGAGCGTAAAAGACTCTAAAGCTCTTTCTTTAAACAGTTGCTTGGTATTAGAGGCATCCGCCCATAGCTCCATTTATGGCGAATGAATCCATCACGCTCTCTCTCTCCCTCTCTCTCTAAATAGTTTCCACATCAGTTGCCAAGTGATCAGCTAGGCCTGTGCTGAGGATAATGCCTCTGTTGGGCTATCAGACCTTAAAACCTGCTTTTGACACAAGCTTTTTAGCCCCCAGAAAAAAACATTAGAAACACAAAGACAAACTTTCTGACCCTGCATCTTTTAAGCTGTGCTTATGACTCCTCTTTGTGAAGCTCTCTATCTGCCGACCTGGCCCTTCCAGTACCTTGAGCTGCAACCAGGCCACATCCATTTAAGCCTGGCTTGCTTCGTGTCCTAAACTCACATTTCAAACTCTCCCTGGCCTCTAATCACCATTTCCCTCAGGCAAGTGCCAAACTTCTGAGAACAAAAGCACAGTAGTGCAACACACATTGTAATTTGCAGCACATAAAAACCACCATTCCGACACAACATAGCATCACGGCACTGAGAATGCAGAGAAACAAACACACCTTCCCTGTCCTCGCTGAGCTACATACAGTATGTAGGGCATTGAGGGCAGGCTTAGCTTTGTTCAGGCAGCTATCTCTGACATTTTTAGGCCTACACAGAGCAAAAGCAGCATACCCCGACATGAAATCAGAGCTTTAGTAAACAATATGTTCTTACAGTCATGGCAGAGAAAGCAACCTGTGGTTGGGCACTGAAAGAACTTCTGATGTAATCCCGATTCAGGCTCTGATAAAACGGTGCCTTAGATTGAACTCCAAAATAAAGCACAATCAGTCACAGAGGAAGAATGTGAGCCAGCTCTATGGTAGAGGGAAACAATCATGTTATGTGCCTTTGCCTGTCTGAGAACACTTTGCTTTACTGCACAGCAAACAGACAGGAAAACTGAAAATTCCTCCTTAAACAAACCAGAAAGAGGCCATTGTATGGTTGTACAATGACACAGACGTGCAGTCTGAAACAGTCGAACTGACAATTCTGCAGCTAGCTTACACTGTAGCATCATTTTTCCCCAGTTGCTGTATTTGACTCAAAGGCCAGCAGTATCTATTATAAGTGGAAGGAAAACTGACAATGGTCCACCCTGTTTGAATATTTGAAAACAGACCCAGAGAGCAATAACACCTTTGTCTAAAAGCAAATGTAAAAAAGACTCATAAAGCTCTGTAGTTATAGTAAAGGCTGAAACCAGTGTGGGTGCAGGTGTGGGGATATCTGCCCACAACTTGATACTGTCCCATAATGCCTTTTGTTTACTGACTCGTAGGTGGAGTTTACCTTGAAGTTGCTGGAGTTGACCCAGGAGCTGGCAATGCCGTCCACCATCTTGTCCAGTGCAGTCTGATCCTGCTCCAGGTCGTGGGACTTCTCCTTGTCCAATATGTAATCAATGATCTCTTGGCCCACCTGCAGCCGTCGGCCCATGTCCTTCTGTAGGACCTGGGCCAGGCAGTTCTCCATGCTGGGCTCCATCATCCCGGCCTCTGATAACCAACCCGTCTGGCTTCCACAGTCTGCCTGGCTGAATGACTGACTGGCTACTAGCAATCCTCCACTGCTCAAAGCAGCAGGAATTACAGTTAACAAAAGGCGCCCCAGTTAATGAGCGTGTGGCTGGATGACCCGGAAAAGGGAGAAAAAAGAAAGAGGCAAGTGCACACAGTCTGCTTGTATTTTTATCCCCGAGGGCAGGCCTTGTCTTTGTGTGAAGTGCTCGCTAGCAAGCTAGTGGCCGTGCCCTAGGGATGGATGGAGCAGGGCTTGGGGAATGGCAGCAATGCAGCATGTGTGTGTCTGGTCAGCAGCTGGGGGAAGTTTACTACTCCCTCCCACTTGGGTTTTTTCCCCTCTTCTTCTCTTACAGGAGTCTGAGCCAAACCACTATAGCAGGGGTAGAAGAGGTGGTTTTGGCGAGCAGTGTGCAAGGCAGCAAATGGAGATAGATGGAGAGGGCTAGCTTAGAGCTCCATGTCTTGTCCCGGGATCTGACCTGGAGAGCCCTAGAGGAGTCAAAAGGACAGCAGACAACAGCAGTCAATTCATTAACAAATCGCTTTATTTAAATTAGAAACATAATTATTGATTTCTCCTGGTACATAAAAATGCATTACTTTTTTGATTTTATAGTAAAAAGTGTTACATACTTTATGGCCAAAAGTATGTGGACCTCGTGTCCTAAAAGGAAATCATACTGCTACAACATGCAGAAATATCGTAGACAACAGTAAGGCTGCATCTAACAATTATTTTAATTACGGATTAATCTTCCGAATATTGTTGCCAAACCATATTATTTGGTCATAAAATGAAGCTTATGACCATTAATTTTACCCAGCTTTGTACCACTAACAGTACAAAACCATCAAGATTTTCAGATTTTATCATATAAAGCAAAGAAATACAAAATCTTCATATTAGAAGCTGAATACCAGAACATGTTTTCATTTTTGCTTGACATGAAGGCTATATAGATTATTTTTCTGTCAATCAACTAATCAATGAACCAATTAACTGCTTGAACAGTGTTTGTGTTTGTCCCTTTCTTTTTTCAACAGCACAAAGCCAGCTCCATAAAGGAAATGATTTCTCCAGTTTGTTGTGGAAAAACTTGACTGGCCTGCGCAGAGCCCTCACCTCAGCCACATCCAACACCTTTTGGATGAACTGGACCACCTACTGTGAGCCAGACCTCATCGACCAACATCAGTGGCCGACCTCACTAATGCTCTTGTAGCTGAATGAGAGCAACACGACTTTCAGCGTCGGCCGATGGCCGTGCTGTTCACACTGCACAACTTGCCGTCTTGTGACAGGAGTCTTGAAGTCACACTAGTGACCAATTGGTGACAGGGGGTCACACACTATGGGAGCTGACAACGAATCTGTCTCCAAACCATGTTTTGCCAAGAAAACACACGTGAAATGTGAAAGGAGAAATTATGCAAACCTACACACAAAACAGCTGTTTGTTATTATAAAGATAGCAATTACAAAGACAAAGAATATGGATGAAAGCACACACAGGTAGTAGGGATTGTCAGATCTACAGAGAGAACAGGAGGTGAGTAAAAAGTAGCCGCCTGCTCTCATTGGCTGGATGTGGATGTTGAGTCGGCCAACTCCTCTAGATATTTGGCATGCTAGATTTCTGGCTGGCGTCTGCGATGTGTCGGTGAGCCGTTTTGATACGTTGTTGAGTAGTTCACACATAATGACTGGCAGCAGCCGATCGATCGCTGATTTACCCCTGATCACAGCCTGACGGTCGCCGAGCTTGTGAGCAGCAAATCGGGCTTAAAATCATGTAGTGTGAACTAAGCTTAACCAGCAGAGCTGCGGCTGTTATAGCAGCAGATTAACACATGGTTTTGGGATGAGATGTGCAAGAGTCACATATGTGTGTAATGTTTGGGTATCTCAATACCTTTGGCCATAGTTCAGGGTAATGGCCAATAGTGTGTAGAATTAGCAAATGTTGCCAGCCACACACCCGCAGCTGGTGATGAGAGTTACAGCCAGTGCTGCTTAAACAACAAATGTACTTTCAGAAATATAATCAAAAATTGAAAGGAGGTATACATTCAAAAACAAAATGAAAAGACAGCTGAATCAAGGCTCTGAATCAAGGCTCTGAATGAATCCCCACCCCCATCTGTGACAGCGTCAAATGCCCAGCTGGACAACCCACGGCTGCCGTGGAGACCCAGGGGCTCTGGGGTTGAGCTTATTTAGAAGCTTCAAATAAATAAGACACAAGGACCTCACTGCGGTGTTTCTTTACTCCACCTCCAAGCTGCTCGATCATATGCTGACTCTGCGTCTTCCCTTCAAATAACACCAGGCTTTTCGTGTGATAAGACAATCTAGCAGAAAGGAATGCTTGAAGAGCCTCTATCAGACGTGGGCCTTTTGTTCTGGGAAGTGAAAATCAAACCTGCATGTCTTGAAGCAGCTGAAGATATGGGCCAGCTTCACTGGACTATGACCTTCTTGTTGTGTCAGTGCGTGAATTATTCCCTCCTCATTAGTGCAATCATATTGTTGAAACACTAAGTAATGTGAGAAGTTTCCTTATTTACTAGTTGACTATTGTTGCTAAATGTATTTGTTAATGTAACGGCAGAAAATTGTTTCCTCTTATATTTAATCTTTTATACATGTTCTTTTATTATTGTTATTATTACTATTAATGTTTATGTTGTGTATAAGGTTTTTCATCCTTTTCTCTCATTATGAACTTTGTCATTATACTCTTTATGTTAGTCTGTCCACATTTACTCCACAGCTGTGATATTGTTTTAGTGTTTTCCTTACTTGCTGTTTCTCTCCTCTCCTTGAATGTTCATTCAAGGCTGGGAGAGGATATCTGATCCCAAACCATAAAAATCTAGCCTGTGTAAATGATTATTTATCCCTTTGCTCTGGGCCAGATGTTAGTGACTGTCCTAGGAGACAGAACCTCTGGCCCAGCTGATTAACGTTGTAGTACTTCTGTCATTCCCTTTTTATTAATAAATTCTTCAGAGACAACGGTTGGTTGTTACTTAATTATTAGCTTAATCCCTCACCAGCAATATACACTTTCCACTGCAGTTAACTTAGTTTATTTATCAGAGATAATAAAGATAAACAGTTACCTAGTGAGAAGCAATGCATCAGATGAAATGTGCATAGGACGTCTAGCTGAAGCTCATTTGTATTACTGTATATGTATGTGCAGCACTGGTCTTTCTCTCAACTATGATAAACCACACATGCTTTTTATTTTTATTTTTTAACAACGTTAGCTGAGCTCCAGCTAGCTCAGAGCCTGACCATCATTGCTAGCACTGCCAAACGAAGGAGCGCCTTGACAGATTCTAGACACTGCTAACATGACACATGAAAGCCTCCCCTGTATTTTCCCTCCGTGGCCATGAAACATTCATTTTCTTTGTTTCTCTCTAAAATAGTGGGTCTGGCAAACCGTCCCACTGTACCAGACGTAGCGACGTTAGGTGTGTAAGTTAGTAAAAGCTAAAGCTAGCCCGTAGCGAAGCCCTACCTTTCAATGAAACGTCAGTTCACAGCCGGGCAGACAGGCAACACAAAGAGAGAAAAAATGTGACAAGGTGGCGAGGAGGTGTCTCTACATCATTCCTGTTTCTACTTACCATATCCCGCTTGAACGCCGCAGCTGGGTGGAACATACAGCTCGTATTCCTTGTTGTAAATACACAGTGTGCGGCCTCAAATCTCTCCTGTCTTTCTCTCTTTCTCTCACACTCTCCACCCGGAATGCTGCCTGCAGGACAAGAATGGGATCGTCGTGCGCTTGCGCAGTCGCTCCGGGGATGATGTTGGCACTTGGATGACTGTCGCATGGCAATGCAACAGAAAAAACCTGTCGGCGTGTGTCATGGGCGTGTGGCGTTATAAAGTCGACGTGTGGCGCCATCTACTGGACACATGGGGTGTTTGATCTGTGTGCGGCGCTGTGATCGTCTCCGTAAGGGTATAGCGGTCTCATTTATACTCCACTGTTGCATCTAGGAAGATAAAAGGGAGGAGTGAGTGTACGTCAAGTAGCTAATTGTTATCTCATGTCTATTCAATTATGTGTAAAATAAAAATTTCAAAAGGACCCCAGACCCACAGGTGTAAGTAATTCAGATAAATGGGCGTTAACGGCTTTCTTCAAGAGACCACACGGTCGATCACGGTCATGCTGAAATAGAAAAGTTTAGTGTGTTTCTCTTGTTGCAGCACTGTACTGATGTATTGATGATGTTGGACATTAGTTAGTTATAACCTGCTCAGGAATTACGGATGAAAATGAGCTATTTAGCTAACTCCCATACATTTACATTGAAGTCTTAACTACAATGTGCACCGTCCCTGTTAAATACATTAAATAAATAAAAGAAGATGTGTGCAGCTACTTTACACACAGCGAGTAACAGCGAATGAAGAAGGTTTAAGATGAAAACGGCACAACATATTAAAAACAATAAAGTAAGAGGGCCGTTAAAACAGCGAGAAAAGGCAGACACAGAGGACCGACTGATAAGTAGCTATTAGTATTACTGCTCTTAACTGGAACTGTCGTAATTAGGCTATAATGTTACCATTCACTGTAACGTAATGTCGGACCTTAAAAGTGGGCAGTGGACGTTAATGTCACACAGCAAATGTATTAATTACAACCCCTAATCAACAATGCAGTTTTCTTTATATAGCGCCAATTCACAACAAAGGTTTTTTTTTCTCATAGTATTGTATATCTATATCCAAGGGCGTCACTTTGTGCTGGGGACATTGGAGGGCTCAGATCAATGGTGCAGTGATACAATTAGCTCACGAGACGTGACAAAGCACAATCACGGGGTCGCAAGAACAAGACATGAAGATAATAAATAAATAAATATTCACTGCTGCGATATATGATTTGGGGGGTCTGGGGGTCCTCCCCCTGAAGATTTTGAGCATTTAACACTTAATTTCCTGCATTCTGGAGACATTTTCATCACTAACTTATGGTTGAACAGTGTATTTATATCAAGGGAAACATAAAATTCTTGGACAATGTACATTTTTTTCTTTTATTTACATTGCATTGCATATTTTGTTATTGTGCAAATAAACATTTCTCAAATCATCTTCATTTTTTTTTTTTTTAACATTTGTTGCTATTTTTCAGAAACATGTTGACAAATACACTGCTCAAAAAAATAAAGGGAACACTTAAACAACACAATGTAACTCCAAGTCAATCACACTCCTGTGAAATCAAACTGTCCACTTAGGAAGCAACACTGATTGACAATCAATTTCACATGCTGTTGTGCAAATGGAACAGACAACAGGTGGAAATTATAGGCAATTAGCAAGACACCCCCAATAAAGGAGTGGCTCTGCAGGTGGTGACCACAGACCACCTCTCAGTTCCTATGCTTCCTGGCTGATGTTTTGGTCACTTTTGAATGCTGGCGGTGCTTTCACTCTAGTGGTAGCATGAGACGGAGTCTACAACCCACACAAGTGGCTCAGGTAGTGCAGCTCATCCAGGATGGCACATCAATGCGAGCTGTGGCAAGAAGGTTTGCTGTGTCTGTCAGCGTAATGTCCAGAGCACGGAGGCGCTACCAGGAGACAGGCCAGAACATCAGGAGACGTGGAGGAGGCCGTAGGAGGGCAACAACCCAGCAGCAGGACCGCTACCTCCGCCTTTGTGCAAGGAGGAGCAGCAGGAGCCAGAGCCCTGCCAGAGCCCTGCAAAATGACCTCCAGCAGGGGGGTTGTGCTTACAGCCCAACACCGTGCAGGACGTTTGGCATTTGCCAGAGAACACCAAGATTGGCAAATTCGCCACTGGCGCCCTGTGCTCTTCACAGATGAAAGCAGGTTCACACTGAGCACATGTGACAGACGTTCTGCTGCGTTCTGCTGCCTGCAACAGCCTCCAGCATGACCGGTTTGACGGTGGGTCAGTAATGGTGTGGGGTGGCATTTCTTTGGGGTGCCGCACAGCCCTCCATGTGCTCACCAGAGGTAGCCTGACTGCCATTAGGTACCGAGATGAGATCCTCAGACCCCTTGTGAGACCATATGCTGGTGCGGTTGGCCCTGGGTTCCTCCTAATGCAACACAATGCTAGACCTCATGTGGCTGGAGTGTGTCAGCAGTTCCTGCAAGAGGAAGGCATTGATGCTATGGACCGGCCCGCCCCGGTCCCCAGACCTGAATCCAATTGAGCACATCTGGGACATCATGTCTCGCTCCATCCACCAACGCCACGTTGCACCACAGATGCTTCAGTCCAGGTCTGGGAGGAGGTCCCTCAGGAGACCGTCCGCCACCTCATCAGGAGCATGCCCAGGCGTTGTAGGGAGGTCATACAGGCACGTTGAGGCCACACAGTCTGACAGCCAGTCTGCCAATGTGTATTACCTGAAGGACATTACATCAAAGTTGGATCGGCCTGTAGTGTGGTTTTCCACTTTTTTACCTGCACTTGTCATCTGCCTTTAACACCATCATCCACAGACCTTAATCAACAAACTGCTGCTGCTGCTGGGACTAAGACCATCTCTCTGCAACTGGGTCCTGGACTTCTTGACAAAAGGCTACAGTCGGTTAAGATCCACAGCACCTCATCTTCCAATATCATTCAACACATCTAGGATGTGTTATTTTAGTGTTCCCTTTATTTTTTTGAGCAGTGTACTTTCAAAAAGTGGTGGGGACGTGTCCCCAGGGTCACCCAGTGTAAATGACACCTATGTCTATATCTGAAAAAGTAACATTGTGTTGAAACGCAGTGGGAACATAAGGGCTCAGATTAGTGGTGGGACGATCCTCTTGACTCAGGAGATGTGATGATGCCCAATTCTGTGTTCATGAGAACAAGACGAGAACAATATTTTAACACTATTTTGAAGTAATGTAACATCAGATATCATGGACTCCACCCACCCTCCCCTCTGGCAGAAGGTTGCGCAGCCTAAAAGCAAGAACAACAAGGCTAACATGCAACTTCTTTCCAGAGGCTGTGAGGCTTATGTACTCCCTGCCCTTTGCTCTCACATTGCTGCTATTGCACTAGCCACTTTAATGATGCCATACAGTTTTTAAATAGTGTTTATTATGGTTAAGATTATCTAAATGTTTTTATATTAGGACTATCTTAATTTACTTATTCTGTACACTGCTGGTCCAGGGAAATTAATTTCATTCCTTCATGCTTTACATGTTTGAATGACAAAGAACTGAATCTGACTGATATGCAATCTGCGTGACCGCTGACTTAACAGATAAGGCACCAGGCTTAACTAAACCTGGCTGTTAGCCTGCTCCAGACCAGGCTAGCCGCACAGAATAAATCTCCACGGTAATTTATGTGCTACTGCTTTTATGAAACCGAGTCACAGCCTAATTCAGCAAAGATAACTGGAAAATCCCGGATTAATCCGTTATCTTGGTTTTGTGAAAGAGCCATCAGGACCCTGAAACATCATTGTTGTCTTTACACCTGTGCTTTCTTACTGTGACATGTCTTATTGTGCTGGCGGTTTGTGTATGCAAATGCTTTTTTGGTTGCTTGTTGTTGAAAATGATCACATCCAGAGTATTTAAAGGACTGCTCAAGAGCACATTTTTACATCATTTATTTTTAAAGATCATACTTTACATAGTAGAAATTTAACCACATTTTTAGACAAGCGGTTATTAAGCAAAAATAATAATGTTGCTGTCTGTTCTATTAACATTCCAGCCCTGTATGGTAAAGGAAAGGGCTTAGTCCAGGACTGAAATGCACATTTACTGTTAAATAAGTCCAGGCAAAATTGCTGCCCATTAATCAGGATCATTATGAAGGATTTGCAAACACCATCCAAGGTACCCACTGATGTCCTACCCACAATTACGGTGGAATATTTCACAAGAGCTTCTTGTAACGTGATAGCCACATACTGAAAGACATTCTGTGATTTCTAAACACAGTTCAACGTTGTCCTGTGACTCTCAAAGCAAATGGAAGACCACACATGATCCTGATACATCTCGGTACTTTGACAGAGAACCAAGTCCACAATAAAACAAGACTTTCACTCCGCCTCTGCGTCCTCTTCAGAGGGTTCCTCGCTCTTTGAGTCATCATCATCATCCTCCTCCTCATTGTCACTATCTTCCTCCTCTGAGGAGGAGCACTCTTCCTCTTTCTCTACAGCTGGCATCTTAATGACAATTTCATCATCTGCATCGTCGTCGTCAATGACCATGGACTTCCTCCTCTCCAGGAGAGACGGGGTGCAGACTGGTGTGGTGTCCTGAAGAGGAAGAGGGGAGCTCATTAGCCAAACAGGGTCATTCTGGTACAGAGGGGATGTTTATTTGTTTTGGTCAACTTTTCCCTCGAACCTTTGCAGTTTTGATTTTCCCTGGAGTTAATAGTATGTTGGTACATGGGTTTTATCGCGCAGCCACCAAGAAACACGCAATAAGCTTTACGCACCACAGTACTATAGGCACAGATATCTGACCCCAGATCACAGGTACACCTGGGGTCATTTTCAGTCTGGGCCAAAGTTAAATGTATATTCAGTTATGCAAAGTGGGTTAAAATAAAGGGCAACTGGACTTGGTTGAAGATACTCAAAGGCTTTATCCAAGACTTCAGTTCACTAAGAAAGCTTGGATGGGAGGCAAAACGTTTGAGAATCTTCAGCCAAGTCTGGTTGCCCCTGATTTTAACCAACCTTGGATAACTATGACATGGATGACTCTTGAGAATCTTCACAGACATCATCATAAGTGTTGGCCTTACATCACTACATGTAGACGCATTCATGGAATCAGACAGCTTTTTCTTCTGAGGGACCTGGGCCGCCTGGAAAAGCAGAGAGAACATTGAAGGTTAACATGATGCCAACAAAAACAGCTCTGCCATGTTACCTGTGGAACTGCCCATCATCATTTTTTTTTTCTGAAAAATTTATTTCTGAATTTTGACAACACAGTTCTATTCTTAATCAGAAGGGCAAAGTTTTGGTCAAATATTAAGTTTTTAGATTAGATTTTTAAGACCGATAGTGATCTTGATATTTGAGGATTTTAAATCCAATATATCAGACACAGATTATTTCTAACAACTGTCGTGTAGTTATGATAGTACTTTGAACAAGAGTGCAAGTGTACACTGTAGCCAACAGAGGAGTGCCCTCTGGTGGACAAACTATACAACTACAACATTCATTTTTAATTGTCATTTATCAGCTGTACAAACAGTTAAATAAATGTATCTGCAGTTAGCTCATATTGAAGCTCTAATGATATATTTAAAGGATAATTTCTGCATTTTTAAAACTATCACAGATTCCAAAACTTTGTGCTTATTACTTTTTCATTCTAGAAGAATTAATTTTTTTATAGCTCAGATAAATAGAACAGCTAGCAGCCATATACTATCTCACTCACAAATCCGGGGAAGTCATAGTCAATGCCGCGTGCTGCAAGCCTCTTGCGGAGCTTCGATTCTTTCCGCAGGAGTTTGTCTTTCAGCTTGGTGATCTGCTCTTCTGTGTGTTTCTTGTTGTAGCGGGCTACAGCAGGATGTGAGGGTTTTTTAAATTCCCTTTCGGAGCCAACAAACAGCTTTTCATGCACTTTCTCTGGTGGCATCACGTTACCTGGGAAACAGCAATGATGATGAGCTTAAAGCAATTTACCTTTACAGCGAGTACATGGATATATAACAAAAGTCTAAACAAAAACTGTGAAAATTAGGCATAAAATAATATGTTCTCTGTAATCACTTCTATTAACATCTTAACTCTGTCGATACCAATTATTCAAGTTAATATAGGTAACATTAGTATCAAGGCACAGCCAGTATTCTAAGAGGTAATGTTTTTATGCAAATTAACGTGTGTGACGCAGGGAAACAAGAGTCATGCCAGTCATTAACAGTCTTGTACTTGAACAATACTCACATTTGATGAGTCTCTCACCCATGAGGTAATTATTCATGGTCTCTGCAACAATTTTGGCTACTTCATCACATTCAAACTCAACAAATGCATAGCCTTTGCTTCCACCTGTCTGCAGGTAAAGTAGAGAAAGTACATATGAGACAGTGATAGACAGCGGGAAATTATCACACATCAAGGGTTTCATACCAAACATCTGCATTTGATTATAGTGTTTTTATATTGCAGATTCAAATTATTTTAGTTTTTCCTCATGCTTTTGTTGGTACATGGGTTTTATCGCTCTGCCAATAGGTGAGCAGGAGATAAGCTTAACGCACCGCAGTACTTTAGGCTCAGTTATCTGACTTCAGACCACTGTTACATCTGAGATCATTTTCAGCCTGAGCCAACATTCTGCAGGATCACTTCCACAATGTCCAGGCAACCCTATGGGACAACTGGGTTGATCTAAAATTTCAAAACAGCAAACTGAGAATTGTCTATTCTTGATTCAGTTGTTTTTCGCACACTCAGGTTCTAATTGATTCAGTCAACAATTACTGATAGGCGGTAGTGTCTCATGTTGTACAATGTAAATGTATGGAACAGACTGCATTCATGTGTCTGAATGTGAAGTCCGTATGTAGTTATTGTTTGTTACTGATGCCCAAGACAAACGTGCTACCTTTTTACTCCTGGACAGCCGCAGCCTCAGGACTTTACCAAACTGTCCGAAGTACGTTTTGAGCTGAGGTTCAAACAGCCCAAGTGGCAGGTGCCCGACATAAATCACTCCAGGGGTCAAATGGCTCCCCTGTAAAAAAAAAAAAAAAATACAAAAAAAAAAAAACACAATAAACAAAAAGGACAAAGTTACAGTTTCAGGGTCCTGGATCCTGGACATGTGAAGAAAACAGAGTACCTGCGCTTCACAGTCACAATGTCTGCTGTGAAAGTGGCCCCTCTTTCCCTAAACAGCTTCTGATGTGATTTTAAGGACAAGCAACAAACAAAGAGCACATCACACATACTGTAATATGAAGAGCTGTTTGATCCCAGGATCAATAACCTGTGTATCTATCTATCTATCTATCTATATATATATCTATATATATCTATATATATATATCTCACACACGGAATGATCTTTACATGCACAATAATACATGTGTATCAATAAAGAGGGGGGAGTGTTTGTGATTTAGCATCACAGCTAGCCGCCAGCCGTGTGTGAAGCTGACGGTGCTGACTCGACATTTTGACTGCGATTCTCACGGTCAGCTATGGAAAAAGCAACGGCCGAGCAGCGGTAGTCTTGCCCGCATCAAAGTTTGGTACCCTGACGAAATAAAAATCAGTAAAAACACTATGGAGTCACCATTTTAATTCATTACCAGCTCTCGCGGCACTGGTCTCTATATGCAACGTTAGCTAAGCCGTTATAAGGTCTCCATTCTCTTAACAGCCACTAACATAGGAGTATTTGACCTCGCTAACGGTTGCAGTCAGAAAAGCTGACATTTCCAATAATATGATAACAAAATCCGACGGGTAAGGGAATAAGGTAAAGCCTGACAAGATACTGTTGGATAAACGCAGAGCCCTCGTGTAGTTAACGCTAACGTGAATAACGTTCCACACAGGGCCACAGTTCCATCTCTACGCACCTTGCTGGATTTGTTCTTCTTCGCCTCCTGCACCTTCTTCTTGAACTCAGACTCCTGCTTGGGGTTCAGAGCCAACAGTTCTTTAGCCGGCTTAGGAGCCGTTTCTGCTTTACTTTCAGTCATTTCGATGAATTAACCTTACTGACACGGGACATAGATTGTAAACTCTCTACGCACCACGCTAGTATCTTTATCCGGTTGCCCATGTGGTGACAACCAAAGAAGTGCGGACGGAAGGTTGCTTTGAGCGTTGGCCACAGTCGTGCGCTCTGCACAGCGCCATCTACAGACACGGAGGATTGGCAGTCCAAAGCAGAGCCTTCGGTGTAAATAAGGTATTGATTTCTGCCATCATTACTTAAGTATGTTTTCCATTATCAAGTGTTTTTCATGATTAGTACTTATCTACTCAATATGAAATATAATTTTCTGCAGAATACTGTAGCTTAGAGTATTTGCACAAATCACGTGCCTAAGGTATTGTAATTCATTACATGTACAGTATATATTATTATTATTACTTTATTTGAATAGCACCTTTCATACAATAAATGCAGCTCAAAGTGCTTTACAGCAAAGAAATGGAATGCACAGAGTGCTTCACATTAAAAAAGACACAATACATAGTTTTGGAAATGAATTTCTTTAAATTATTTTGAAATAGTTATTATCTTATAGTTGTGAGATAGCTCATTATTAAATAATAATAAGAGTTTTATGTGTTCTTCATGACTTATTATCAAATGGCTGAAATGGGCTTTAAAAAAAGATCTATACAAGAATAGACACACACACACACACACACACACAAAACAAAAAAAAACTGGGGGTTACTTTCAATTAATTACTCCTACTATCATTTGGAAAAATGTTACAGTGTGAAAGAGGGAAAGGGAAGGAGGAGCACAGGGGAGGTGGTGAGAAGGCAACAAGGGGGTGGAGAGTTTACCAGTAAAATAATGAGGTGAGACAGACATTAGCCTACATACAGATCAGCAGTGCGCACAGCAGCTTCAGTTGATCTGGTTTCATGACATGGCAACGAAAATCATCTACTTCACAGTGAATGGGAGACCAGAGAAGGCTGAATTCCCGATGGACTGCCCTGCTCAGGATGTCAAAGGTAGGAGCAGAAGATGATGTTACTGTTTAAATTTATTTAACTTGTTATTATAGATTATAGAAATTTGAGTAGCATTGTGACAGACAAATATTCTAACAGCTTTGTTGTAAACCAAACAAGTAAACCACCCTGACAAGTGCATGAATTAGATGCATGGGTCATTCATTACACAAGCAGATGAAAGATGTGTGTTACAGAGGTTGTCTAAGCTCCACACAGCGATTCAGCTGCCACTGACAGCTCATCACCTGTCAGATCGGCTTCACGTGTTCTTTATGTATGCTTTGTTTGAAGTGCTGAGGAAGACAAAAGAAAGCACCATACTGAAGATTTCTAACATAATGTGAATGAGCACAGATTCTTCAGCAGCAGTTGTTTGTTATTTGGAGTATTCTTATTCTAACTGTGGCAGTCTTATATAAAAGTGGTACCACTTTCTAATACAGTACATTTGAAGGATTTATAAGTTGTAACTATATGCTTTTATTAATGCTAATAAATACTTTACAAATACTTAAAGATCAGTTACAAGCCATTGTTAAGAACCATTTTTGGGTTGACAAGTTGTGAAAAATCCCTTTGGTCTATGTTTATCCTTTCTATTTGGCAATTTTGCTTTTATAGATGATGGTAGTTCACTAATAAGTTGTTAGAAATTAATTTTAGTACAGATCCTCTGGATCCCTTTTCCAGAAGGTAAATGCTCATGCAGCCTTACTAGTTTGATTATAATAACGGTATAATTGATCTATAATGCTTCATTAAACTATTTATTAACAACGAATAAAGCAATTAGTTACAACCAGACACCCTGGCTCCACATTGCATCACGGTTCTTGCTATGGATGGTTAAGCACTTATTGTTAGTATCTTCAAAAAGTGGTACCTACAAGCATGACAAAAAAAAAAATCATAGTTCAAAGACCACTTACTAGTTTTTCCCAGCACTTTGAATCACACCCATGGTCTTCCTCAGCGATTTAGTGTGTCTCTATAAAAATAACAGTAATACATAAAAAAAAATTCTCTTTGCATAGTGTGAAATGAACAGTGAGACGTTCTTTCCAGATCTGTTCCGCTCTGCAGCCGAGGCAGGACCCCATGACATCCTGAAGCTGTACAACCCCAAAGGCAACATCATCAACATCTCCCCGAGTCTGGAGCCCAACAGCCCAAACTCCTGCTACAAGCTGGAGGTGGTGGCCGCCGAGTGCAACAGTGAGCCGTTAGGTATCTTTAACTTAGCACCATGGGAATCACAGTGCTGGGGTTTATTTAAAAACGTTGACAGTCTCCCTCTTCTCCTGTCACTTCAGGTGCAGAGCTTGCTGGTGCGCTCGGATTTGACCTCTTATCCATGGAGAAAAGGTAGGCAAGGTGGGAAGCAAGAGAAACAGGATATACTTGAGGAAAAGTATAGCTTATTTAATGTGAAAGTGGAAAAGTCTGGCGTTTCTTTGCATTATGCTTTTAAAAAGGAGGCCAGATAGACCGTGAATTAGAGACTTTGAATAACATGATCCAAAGGTGTAGATAAATGACTTAACACTGTGCGGGTGGTGTGTGAGCTCAGACTGCAGGGCCTGGAGAAGAAACTCCTGATTGAAGCCGGTGAGACCCCTGCAGTTGTGTATGAGATGAAGAAACAGGTGGATCGATTCCGGGACAAACTAGAGGTAGGGGACAAAGTACTTGGGGGCTTTAAAGCTGTTCATGAAATTTGGGGAAAAGAACATGGAACTTATTAATATGCATAGGGAGTTTGTTAATCCTAATCAGAAAAAACATCTCTATCCTGAGCCAACAGTCAGGTATTGTATTGCCTTTCTAGCTCAACCTCAAACAGATACAGTTAGCGACTAGCAGCTGAACACAGCATTCAGCAGCTAAAGAGGTATTTACCAAAGGAGTTGGTGGAGACCGAAACAGAAACATGATTTCCATGAATTCTTTTGTAACGACATTCAGGGTTCCCATGAACTGTCCTGACTTTTGGTGATCCCCTGACATTTTCCCTACTGCTAGTGAGATTAACATTTGTGGTGTTTAGTGAAATGCCTCAATCTCTTAATCTCATTGGTACAGCAAAAACAGAGCACACTGAAATCAGTAATGATAATGTAAATGACAATTGATTTGTAATTCCTGGCCTGAATTTTGAAGGGTCAATCTGGGGATTTGATGTGATGATCGATGTGTTTCGCTGGATCCTCATTCCTTTCCAGAGTGTGGAGCATCTGAGCTGGCTGGGATTATTTAAAGATCTGTCAGAGGGAACACACAAGCCCTCCCCATTTTACCACAAGAGAACCCTACGAAAAACCAGGAAGGAGTGTGAGCATGTACGGGAAAAGTTTCTTCAAATGAGGCACGTTCACGTTCCTGCAAAACTCAAATAAATAATGCCCTCCGTATTATATATTATATCTTTGAATAACAGTAATCATGTGCATTTGTTGTTACATTTGCAGCTCCCTGGAGGTATCAGACGAAGTGAGGCAGTACTTAAAGACCCCAACCTTTGATAACTGGTAAGTTTCCACCTGGCCAGTAGAAATCTGGAGATGCTTTAATGTCAAACAACCAGTGCACCTGTTTCCTTAGTGCACAGCGCTTAATGACAGTTGGGCCCAACGAGCATCTCTGACGCGTTTCTGAAGAGGATAGGAGCCGTCACCCTTTTCTTCTGGTGGACAAACTCATCTTAATATGAATAGGCCTGCAAAGGGCTCACAAATCAAAAGAAGGTCTTCATAAAAGGCTTAATCAACAAACCATGTTTGAAGTGGCCTTCATTTGGAGGAAGTGCATTCTGCATTCAGAAAGGCTTGGCCATCATTTCATTTGTCTGAAAGCTTTTAAAGCAAACCCCTAATGATGGCCTTGGACATGTGATTACGCACACAGGCTCCAGAAGGAGACCTGAAGCTTGGGGTGTCATATAACAATCAATAAATCAATAGATTCCTTTGAATCCCATGTGCTTTTCTATGGGCTCTGCTATGTGGGCATTTTAAAGGACAAGGCTGACATTCTTCTACATTTTTGTCAACAAATCCCTTGAAAAAAAACAAAACCAACAATGGTGTTTTTCAACACTTTCTTTCTGTGGCACTCAGCCTCAAGTTATTCCTAATGAAGACATACATCTTTAAAAAACAGTCCACGATATAAATGACTCAGTAATTTGCTAAAACTACTGAGCACTGTAATTGTTAGCATTTTTAACATGTACACAGGACTAAATAGTGCATTTGTTTTAATAGTTTTGGACAATGGAGCTCCACCGCACAGAGGAAGAAGATATATCTGGCTTTAGATACACACAATACTTGTTTTAATAATAATAATAACAATAATAACTGTGGTTGGGTTGTGTGGAAGCTTTTCTTGCAACAAACCAGCTAACTGTGGCATGCTGTTGAGTCTGATAAGTGAAAATATACATTTTACACATTTCAGTGGGTGAGATGCCTTTATTAACCTTTTTGGGTTCTATCCAAGCATTAATATTTATAACCAGCTTCCATTGTTGTCATTTTTCCACCCATTAATGTATTATGTTTTGTTGTTTTACATAGAAAGACTAAAAACTAAAACATATAAAATACGAAGGATCTGTTTCAAAGACTTTACTGTCACTGTTATCCAGGATGTTGCAACTTGAGAAACTGCTTATGTTTAATAATACTGCATGTACCATATAGATGGACATTTTAACCATTTGTTTAAAAATGTTTCCTCGCAAAGACATTTTGTGTGTGTGTGTGTGTGTGTGCAGGCAGTGGGAGGACGCAGAGATAATGGTGCTCCTGCATGTCATGTACGCAGATTTAGATTTCATAGCGACCTTCAACATTGAGCCTGAAGTCCTGCAACAGTTCCTGTTTGAAGTCTATCAAAGATACAACAACATCCCTTTCCACAACTTCAAGCATTGCTTCTGTGTTACCCAGATGGTGAGTGTGTGTGTGTGTGTGTGCGCGTGCCATAACGTTGATGGCACATTGGTGTTAGAGAGATGACTCTAATCACTGGACAACTCTACAGGTTAGGCAGTTATCGCAACATATCCATGAAGGATTACATCTGATGGTTCGAATTCTTGCCTTCAACATTTTGTACAAAAATAGCTAAGGCTTAAAGGATTCATTCTCACCTGCATTTATCAATATTTTCTAAATATTGTGATCTGATAAAATATTTATAATCAGATGACTGTGTAAAGTAAAAGGTTTGGCTCATCTGAACAAAATCACAGAATCAGTACCCAACTCTACAGTTCTTTAAGGGCCTTTGCGGGTAGGAAGGAGGCAGGAGCAATCTGAGAAGAGGAGCAACCAAGGAGCGACAAGCAGGCGCAATCCCTGCTTTTAACCCTCTTTTAGCTCATTGGTTTGGTTTAAAGGTTCAGTGTGTAATATTTTATTGACAGAACTGCAATATAATATCCATCACTATGTTTTCAGTGGTGTATAAAGATTTTATATAATAAACCCTTTTGTTTCTATTACCTTAGAATGAGTCATTTATATCTACATAACGCGGGTCCCCCCTTCCATGGACGTCGCCATGTTGCGCCGTGTTTCTACAGTAGCTGAAAATGGACAAACAGCCCTACAGAGCGTGTTTCATCACTACGTTCTTCTTGTTCTACTTCTGGTAGAATTCAGGCAGTGTAGACACTCATCACTACGTTGAATATGTACATTAGAAGAAGAAGTAGTAGTATTAATGTACTGTGGGGGGTCAGCAAATAGGATTTGCATTGGAGAAATATTTTCAACCATTAGATGATGGGTAAGAATATGACACATAATATTGACAAGTATTGATGTGGTGTGCAGTTAGCTCAGTTAGTTAAGTGCAGGACTTGCACCCCAAGGGTTGAGAATTCAAACCCATCTTGGCACAACTTTTTTTGTCTCTTCAACAAATGGATTCTGCAGCGACTGTTTCTCACGTTACGGCATGTGCTGCAGTGTTTGTGTTTTGGCCTTGGCCTTGGGGGCCCTATTCAAAATTTAGTTGGAGGCCCCTCTGACTGTCGGGCGTTGTCACTATATATGACACAGAAACATGTCTTGTTTTTAAATACGACCCAATGAATGCCATGTTTGTTTAGCACAAACACACCAAAGCAAATTTCTTAAACCGACTTGGCAATAAAGCTGATTCTGATCAAAAACTATAACTCTATATTATTATATCTACTATGTTTGAAGTCAAACAGGAAACATATGATACTGGAGAGCCAGGTGTGGTAAGCACGATGGTACTGCTCTTCACTTCAACAGGCACAGGTAGACCTATGAGGGAGATTAACAAAGTAAATTAGTAATTTTAGTAAATTGACATCTTCATACACTGAGTGTTGCTAGAGGTGAATAAATGTTTAGTTATTGTTGATGTAGGCCTAAGCTTGCCGGCAGCTTCTTGGATGATACCAATGATGGAGAGGTGGAGGCTGATGGACCTGCTATTAAATAATAAAAATAAATAAATAAAATGGCTGAATTGAAATTACTTGAGTTCTTAGCTTAGATCTGGAGGATCTTATAATGCAAGACAATCTGCAAGAGTTTGATGCTGTCCCCTTTTAAAAAGTGACTTTAGATAAGATGTCTTTTCAACACTGGCAGCTTAGGAGCTCCAGTCTTTAAAAACAGCTACTACACACTCCCTACCTGACAGATTTGATTTATCAAAGGACATGACATCTCTATAGGTTTAACTCAAACACAAAACCTACCAGCAGTGTCAGCTTATTGGGTGACAGGACCGTGTTCAAACCTGGCCTATCTGGTTTTGTTCTGTTAAATGCTTTATAACATCAGATGTGAACAGCTTAGCTCCAAGACAATTTGTATAGCGCCTTTCTAGTCTTTTCGACCACTAAAAGCACTTTTACACTACATCTGCATTCACCATTCACTCACATTCATACACTGGCAGAAGAGCCGCCAGGGGCAATTCGGGCTTCACACTTCACAATGCAGCCTGGGGGAGTCGGGATTGAACCGCCGACCTTCCGATTAACGGCCAACCCGCTATACCTCCTGAGCCACAGCCGACTGTAGGGGGCCCTCTGCTGGCCACGGGGCCCTATGCCACTGCAGAGGTCGCTTAGTGGCTGGGCCGGCTCTGCCATCAACCTACGGACACTTTTTCAGTTCCCCAGTATCTGCAGGCAGAGAACATTAGGGGAATAACATTTTCTGAAGACTCTTTCAGAGGTGTGTCAAGCAGGCTACAGACTCTTTTAATGTTGTTCAGAATTTTTCAAACTAAAAGCTCAGTTCAACTCCAAATACTGCATTGCAGTAAACAAGCTTCTTTTTTATTACTTTACTACTTTTTTATTTTGTAGGCAAAACCACTAAAGAGGAAGTGATTATGTGAGTAACTGTTGCTGCCATAACTGAGATTTTTTTCAGCACCACTATCAAAGTATTTATTTATTTATAGTTTTTGCTGCTATCAAAGCACCGTAATCTGGCAGCGGGACAGATATTATTGTTGGCGGGCAGTTTTGGCGACGGTCCATAATCACAGAGAGAATTAGCCTAATGTGCTTCCCTACTCAATGTTTGTATAAACTGCATCCATTATGTGGTTTATAATGGACTGTGGTGCAGAAACAATGACAGTGTTTCACACTCTTGGCTTACGTTTTCCATGTTATCTGTCAGAGGCCAAGTCACAATAACATATGGTTTTACTGAATAATTAAGTAAATATAATCTCTTAATATATCTACCTAAAGAAACCTCATTTCTTCATGGCATGGTTTATCTCTGCTGTCTCAGAAGATACACCTTTTGTGCTCTGTCAGCCACCGTAGCTGTCCTACACTCTTTAAAAGGGTAGGTGTAGTAGTAAACTGGAAAGTGGCAGGTGGAAATTCACAACCCTCATCACTAGTTGCCACTAAATCTTACACACTGAACCTTTAACATTTAGGAGATGATTTAGTTTGCGCAACTCTCACTGTAAGCAACCCTTTCCACAAAACATTGATAAACTCACTATACGCTACGCTGTCTGCCCCGCTCCAAATAGAATAGCAGACAGCGTTGGCAAGTAAAAATGTGCGCACTTAGTAAGCTAAAGGGACGTTTATTTTTCTCAGCAGTTGGAGACTCTAACTCAGCTCAGCTAAAAGGAGTATGAATATTGGACTTAAATTTGTCAGCTTGCATGAAACATAACTAAATAAATTCTAATGTTGTTTCATGACGGCTGGATGTGTAAGTGAAAAATTGTTTGCTAACATGTTAGCCATGTCAACTTTGGAAGCCTAATGTTCTGTCTGTGCATTGACTGTACATGTGTGAAGCAACATGTTGACTTACTATCCTTTAGAAATATTCTTGTTCTTAAACATTATTGTTGTTAAAAATGGATCACATGACTATGTGTAATGTCAAAAGGGGTCGTGCATCCATTAGCTTTGCTAAGCATTTTAGCATCAACCTAGCCACAGCAGGCAGCTGTTATCAGCTGTCCTGTTTAAATGACAAAATGAATAAAGTTTATTATTAAATGCTTGTTAACACAGAATTTGGGCATGTTAAAGTATTTTAAACATTAACACAACAAAAATTGACATGTTAACACATCAGGTAGATTTTCTATGCCTCATTGTTAACGTGCAAATACCTGTCACAGCCAATGGGTCGTTCCGTTCTGTTTGGGGATTTTTAGCTATTGCTGTTGCTAGCCAGATTTTAATCAGTAACAATCATTTCCAAATCTGTGTCTGGTTGTAATGTTATCAGTGCTACCACCATTGTCACTATATCATATATCAATCAATGAATAAAGATGATTGACCATCAAGTATGACCAGCCATGTATAATGCTGTATGCCTGATCTTAACATGAAATTCCGCTTTATATTAATGATCCTGTAATGTTTTGGTATGTACTTTGCAGTGGGCTGCATACACACCACAGTATTTCCTCAGAAGAAAAGAAAATTAGATTCTACGATTACCTAGTCCAATTCAAGTTTCAAGTCACTCGTGGTTATAATGAATGTTGTATCACCTGCTGCGTTCAAACCAGGCTGCTTATAAAACTGCGTAGCTATAAGGGATTCTGTTACTGTAACCTGTTTTTACTCAAAGAGCACAACCATGTAATGTGCAATGCAAATAATGACATCTTATAAACTACTGTAAGTAAACACACCCCAGACTCAAACCCAGTGTAACGTTATAACTAAATAAAACTGAAACGTTACATGATCAATAATAAACCTGTAACCTGTTTGCAGCCGTTAATTAATGTGATGGCAGCCAGTGGGATGTAAATGATTACGTTAATCGACCACCACAAGTTTGCCAAGTAAAGAAACGCTCATTCAACTTATAATAACAAACAACAGTGGGAGTTAACCTCCCGTAGGTCGTAGCTAAAGCATGAAGCAAGCTAACGTTAGATGGCCAATGCTCAGCTAAACATGTTTACTCGCCACAGGTTACTAACCTATTTTGCATTCAGCGCTTCTTTGTTGTATTAAGTTTTAAAGCCAAAGTTTATGATGAATGGTACAGCAGCTGCCGCTGTGTGTTGTCCTCTCACACATGTGGGTGAGACTGTGTACTGTGTGTTACGTAGGCAGGTTATAGGTAACGCAGGGAGGGAATAACAGCAAGCTCATCAGACGTTTCCTAGAAGAATGTTCACGAGTCCCACAACTCGAGTCTGAGTCGAGTCTGAAGTCTTTTGAGGATGAGTCTAAAGTCAAGTCTGAAATCACTGTGTGTGCGACTTAACTCAAACTCGAGTCCCCATCTCTGTGTTCTCGTCCATAATATTATTACTTGGACTCTCATACCATCCCCAAATGTGTGGTTGCAATTTGACAGAAAAATCTGCAGCGTCATCACTAAGCTAGCTTTCTCCTCCTTTCAAACCTTCACCATCTCCCATTGAAAGTTTCAATTGGCTTCTAAAGCCCAAATCTGCCTTACGTTTATTATTACACAAACTTGCGTTGTTGATCGATGTCACTGATGCACCTTTCCTCATGGATATGTATGAGTGCCCTGATTCAAGGGCCCTCATTGGACACAACCAGAAAGGGCATTAACTCTACCTGTTAACAAGCATTTTAATTTCTTCTAAACAAAGTCTCTAAGATGTTATTTGTGCAAATGGTGTTTCATAGTACTCTATCTGCTCGGCACCAAACAGCAGTCAGAAATATTAGCAACTAGCAAGTAAACATAGTGAAACATCTAGCAGCCTATGAGCCAGATATTTCCCTCAGAAGTTGGTGGTGATCCAAACTGAGCTAAAAGAGAGTGAATAATGGACTTACATTCAGTCTGTTTCTTAATCTCTGAGCAGATGTATGGTTTGATCTGGCTGACTGACCTGAGGAGTAAGATGGACAGCATTGACCTGCTGATCATGTTGACCTCTGCAGTTTGCCATGACCTCGATCACACAGGATACAACAATGCCTATCAGGTATGAAATTCCCCCTATGTGGTTCTTCAGACAGTGTCTCCTTGGTGAGCATAACTTTCTAGCTGCTGAGGCCTCATATTAACTTCTGCTGAACTTCAGAATGCCTTGTTATAAAGACTGAAGACTGTGGATTTTACATTGAATTTGCTGTATGGACAGGAGGAACAACAAAAGTGACCAGTAATTGACTGATTTGGTCAAACAATTCTGACCAAGATAAAACTAAGGCAACATTTTAAAGTACTGTGGGAACATTTTGGGTAGTTTTGCGGATTTACTTATTGTGGTTTCTTGTTGCTTATCAGCAACATACGCTGATACCAATGTATTTGTGACAGCTAAAGTTAGCCAATTCTATATGCTAATATACAGTATACTAATACTTGTTTACCCTATACAGCATATTAAATAACTGACACTAGCATGTGATATGTCCTCACAGTCTCTGAATCCTATTAAAACCTAAATGTCAATATCATCTAAAAACTTTGAATTCTCAAGTTGTATAAACATAAAATTTAATTTCTGAACTTATTCACCATAAACTCTATTTAATGCTAATCAGAAACAAATGTCGGACCATCTTTCAGATAAATGCTCGGACAGAACTTGCTCTTCGCTACAATGACATCTCTCCACTGGAGAACCACCACTGTGCTGTAGCTTTTGGTTTACTGGAGAAGGTAAGATGACAACCCACTGTTTGTTCAAAACACTTTGTGCAAGCTGCCGCAAAACTAGTTTTTAGGGATTTGAACTAAACCTGGACAAGAACAGGATGACTATCTCCATGAGATTGAGTCAACTATGCAGTCAGCGATAGTGAACTGATCATTTTCTGTTTTGTAGACAGAGAGCAACATCTTCAGAAATGTGTCCATGGATCAATATAAACGGATAAGGGAAGGGATCATAAAGTGAGATCATCTTTTGAATTCTCTTAGCAAGCACATTTGTTGTTATTTAGTCATGAAAGCACAACAGCATATGGGATGGGTTTATTTGGTTGTAATTGCAGATGCATTCTGGCCACAGACATGACAAGGCACAATGAGATTCTCAACAAGTTCAAGTCCATCCTGCCAGCTTTTGACTTCACCAACAAGGACCACAGAGATGTGGTAAGAGGAGTGCAAATAGAAACACAGATGTATAAGAAATTCATGTAACTTCAACATTTATTTATGTTGACTGTATGTTTGTCTGCCTGTAGCACCTTATCACCACAGCAAATTCCTAAAAAAACACTACTTGGCAATAAAGCTCCTTCTGATTCTGATTCATGCTTAGCAAGTATTATTGTCTGATAAAGATTTCTTTTAACCTTTCATTCTTTCTCTATAAGCAGTGGCCTAGTTGTATTCTTTGGTACAAAGTAATGTCAAGAATACAGTTTAGGGATGAAATGATTACTACTTGTTATCTGTATGCAATTTTGCTGATTAAACCTCTGCTCAGGATGAAGCTGGGCTGACCAATGTAACATGGTGTCACCAAACGTGGGCCAACAGGACATTTAATTTTGATTTTATCCCTTATTCCATACATCATTCATTGTTGACTTGAATGAAGTAAAAACCTTCCAAACACTGGGACTACTGCTCCGTTGCTGTTGACAGAAACATGTTAAATATGAAGTAAACCAGCAGTGAGATTAAAAAACCTCTAACGTCACACATTCAAACCAAATCAATCACATCAAACTTTATTTGTATCATATAGATCATCTCATATAGGCTAGTGCCATTCAAAGTGTTTTACAAGTGATTGACAATTTCATAATAAGACAAATGTATCATTAAAACAAGTTGAGATGGATGCACACAAGAAATAGGAATCAGAACACCAATAAAATCAACACAGTAGATAAAACACAAAAACAAACAAAATAAAAACATTTTAAATCAAGAATTCAATTAAATTAATAGTCTAATGATGTCTAAAGATATGAACCCTTTGAGCTGCTCTCGATTAGACTGTTCCAACGGCTCAGAGCATACAAATATACTGCAGTGAAATGACAACTTTTGTAAAGCTGATGGGATGTAAAAAGCTGCCTCACCTCACTGACCTGAGGGCCATTCCGGTACATTTCAGACTGTGTTGAGCATGTCAGACAAACAAACAGAAGAATTTTAAAATCAACATAATTCCCGACATTTCAATAAGGTCCTTGCATGTTTCATGCTCGGGCCCTAAACAAAAATGTAAAGACTTTAAATTGAGGCTGTAACACCTGGCACTAGTCTTGTCTACATATGCTTACATTAATGGCAGCTCTTTTCAGCCCTTTTAAAGATTTTTATGACTTTAGGATTAGAAATGTTTTAATATCACTGATGATTACATTTTTTGTGACCAACAAATATATATACTTTTTTGCTTTCTGGGCAGCTGAAGTCTCTTTCAGGAGAGCTCAGCGTCCCAGACCACATCAGACTCCAACCACCAGCCAAACCTCTGTCTTTCTCTCATAATTAATATGCAAATGTCTGATATTCCCCTGTTATGTGCGGAGCTGATGATGATTCTGATCAAAGTGAGCGACATATCCAATGAGGCGAGGCCCATGGAGGTGGCTGAGCCTTGGTTGGACTGTCTTCTGCAGGAATTCTACAACCAGGTAACTCAGTCCGATTGTTTGTACAGACATTTCATACTGTAGCAACACCCGAATATTTGTTTCAAAACCATAGAGGATTGTTTCCATCTGCCCTTCTCAGTTCTGTAGTTCAAAGCTAAATTAAATGTGTGCATTGTCCTGTAAGCCACAACCTGAAGCATTCTGATTCAGGAGCAACAAAGTTAATTAAAATAAAAACAAAATCAAAAGTTTCACAAGCCAGTCCTACACTATAACCATTAATTCTATTAAAGCTTTGTCGTCTATCTGCACTCAGAGTGATATGGAGAAGTTGGAGGGTCTTCCAGTCACCCCATTCATGGATCGGGACAAAGTAACCAAGCCTTCATCTCAAACAGGCTTCATCAGATTTGTCCTTTTGCCTCTCTTCATCGAGCTGGCCAACCTTTTCCCCTGCCTGGAGGTAATTTATTTTGTAAGATTCATATACATCCAGCAAATGCACTCACTCTGAGCAATATGCCTTTTGGGTTTGGATGAGTTACTTTGGGAAATTGCTTATTAAATTAAAATTGGACATGGATGAGGGTAAGTTTGCTCTCCTGCTGTGGAATTTTATTAATTCTTCATTCATTCTGCAGCAACACATTATCGATCCAGTACGGAAGGCTCTTGATTACTACACAGAGATGGAGAAAGCACTGGAGAGGGAGACACAGAACCGGGCTCAGAGTGAGAATGCAGCCAAGAGTAAGGAGACACAGAGCACAGCTGACAGCCAGACTGATGCTGTTGGCCCCGAAGCCCCGAAACCAGACGCACAGTGAACTATGGTGAACGGCACATTATATTTATATTGATTTAAATGTTTTAGCACCGTTTACATTTGTACTTTTGCTCAAGTATTTACTGGGCTAAGCACAAGTTGCCATTCTAAGCAGTGCCTGTTGTAGTTTTGGTGTATGCAGTATTATCTGTAATGTGATGAGATAGAACCTAACTTTTACTTTATAATTTTGCTGGAGGGTTAAAAATTAATTCTCAACACTAGTAGGCTACATTTTAAAAGAGAATTTCCAAAGTACAGTTCAACAAATTAGTTTGCCTGAATTATGTTTTAATATTAATCAATATTTTGATTCTACCAAAGGAATGCGTGACAAAGGATTAACAGATTATAGATATTTACATTTCGGACAACATTGCATTTCTACTCCAGTGTTGTTTGTTTTGGAATAAATAAACTGCATATACTGTAAGTTGCTTTGGTTGCATTGCATCAGTTGCATATGTGATGTAAGAAACCGCACACCAGATTCCCTCACCCAGCATGTGATTGTACTAAATTTTTTTGGGTTGTTGGAGTGTAACTAAAAAAAATAATGACTCAGTGGGAACTTCAATCGAGTGTCTTTGGAATGAAGTACAGAAAAACAGTATATAGAAAAGTGCTTTTTCTTTGTTATGATCTCAAGGTTCTTATGTCACCTTTGAATAAAACCAATGAAAATTAAATATTAAACAGCTTTTCCATTTTCATTTTAATATGTCAGAGAATGCCCATAGGAGTATGTGAAAATGTAAATTATTGCAATTTTATTTACAGTTTTATACATATGATGGAAAATTCTAATGCTATTGTGGAATTACATTTTCAATTTTAGTTTACATTACCATTTTAATATAGCCCCCTATAGGCTTCCATAGTATGAGTAAACTTTACGTCTAGTATGTCATCTTTCGAGAAGAAGTAACATGGTGCTTTACACAAGACAAAATCCCAGAGTGAACAGTCATACAGAAACAAAAGCAGCGAAATGGTTTGATGTTAAAAGTGGAAATTTGATTTGCCGGTGCAAGAAGCACAGTGTATCTTAAGGAAAAATGGACAGAAAGAACCAGTATTGTTTTTGTGATTTTCAGGGGCTACAGTAGCTTGAAAATGGAGCTGTTGTACCTCCGGAGGACAAGTGAGAGTTGGGTTTTTGGCTTCCTCTCTGGGAATCAGCTCTTGCCTGGCTACTGAAAGCTGACATGCACACTAGGGGGTGCTGTTATTTCTTCTAAATAAAAGCCAGCCTGCAATGTAAGTGACAACGAATGTGTCAGCAGGGCAAATAGTCCCAAAACTCTGGCAGCACGCCATTGTGTTTTTAATGAGTGGGTCATCATCAGTCTACCTCTACAGCTCAGTGTTGTTAAGAAAGAGTTTCTTCATGAAGCCAAATAAAGAAGTGTGCTATTTTTAGGCTTTAAGCCCTTTATCACCAGCAGAGGAGACCAAGCGGGCTGAGAGTGGAGGCCGGCGCAACAGCTGCAGCAGCAATACTGTTGAAGACAGAGCAGCAGTGTGTGCAGTGTGTGTGTGTGAGAGAGAGGAGAGAGACAGAGAAATATAGTAGAACGCAAAAGAAGAAAAACAAGTCTTTAGTAGCCTATTGCTTTTAGCCTGTACACATGTGGTGAGAAGCCCCTGAATTTCTCTTACTGAGTTATTTTGTAATAGAAATATTTTGCTTCACTGACTGCAGCACAGGTGTCACTAATAACAGCTCTGTTCTGTTCAAGTGTCTCTGTAAGCCATGACAGGGTGACAGTACACCAGGCTGAACACTGCCAGGACCCTTAAACTGAAGCAGCTACAGGAAATGGAATTCAGACATCTTTAACTACCTGTAGTTTTCCTACAGGGACATTTCAATATGTCTTGTTTTATTCTGTCCCGAAGAGCAGGAAGAACAGAAGCAAGGTCTCAAAATGGTCAAAAATTACTCCACAGTTGGACAGTCTATAGTAACATTTACAGCTCAGGCCTTCTCTTCCTGAGCTTTCATTTCTAATTTACATTTCTGGGACAGAGCCAGTTTGGACGGCAGACCTGAAATCTTAACTTCAGTTGTTTGTGATTTTTTCCCCCATACTTGACCATCTTGACTCAGTCACGTGAAAACTGTAGCCTTTTTATTGGCTATCCTTCTTCTCAAATCCTGAACAATCTCAGCAACATCCAATGATCTGCCAAGAAGGAACCCCCACAGTAACATTGAGGACGGTTTGATTACAACATTTTTGAGCAACATTTATGAGATTTCATGTCAAAAGGCAAATGAGAGTGGTGTCCCAGTGTAAAAAGTATTAAATATGCAAAGTCAGTAATGTGCAGTAATTTGCTCAGAGGTATAGGTTTGCCAAATACATTTTGCACACAATAATAATGTAATATAATTATTGTATATTAATATTATTTAATATAATGTGCTGGGACATGCTTCAGCAGAAATGAAATAAGGAGTTACATTTAATTTGGAAATAAGCATTTATTAATTAGGCTTTATGAAAAACAAAGTAAGATAACAATAATTGTCTGTGTTCTAAGCACGTGGCTGGTGAGCCCCAGTTTCCAGCTTTAAGGAGGGAGTTGTCTGTTCAGATGTTCACTTTATTAATCTACACACTCCGCACAGTGCACGCAGTCCGTTTTAGGGTGGATCTCTCTAAATCCCTCCAACCCTCTGCTCAGAGAACGTGCCCCCAAACCTGATTGGACAGAGCTTGTGACGAGCAGCCAATCGCTCCGTCAGCTCTGGCCGGTTCCGGTTTACATCCTCTGAGCTGATCCAGAGTGTCTGCCCGCTCGGTCGACCTCACCCCCCTCACGAGGAGCCGACAACAGCATTCCAGCTCGTGCCGCGTGTCCCAGTCAGCGTGACAGCCAGCTAGTGTGGAACGCCTCGTTCTGAGTGTTTTATCGGCCACGAGGAGAAAGTAGAAGGATGGACCCGCTGGTTGCTGCCATTGACCAGGGCACGAGCTCGACGAGGTTTCTGGTGAGTGACGTGTAGAGTCGGCTCAGCGTGTACGGAGGCTACGTGCCACACAGACCGACTAACTTACCGCGCCGGGCTGCTTATTATTGAGCCACATAACTGATATCAAGCAGCGAAGCGACCAGCGGCTGAAAAGCAAAACACTTGTTGTGAGTAGAAATGAGACGCAGAGTTAATTACAGTGAGACGATGCCTGATTCCAGCATACAAGCTGGAAAACATGAAATGCCACAATTCACTGTTACACCAACATTACAATGCAAGTAAACAGTAAGTAGGAAATGTGTTGCAGTGTGTGTGTTGAAACGTTGGTCACTTGGGTAATGTTTCCAGAATAGATTTCTATGTGTAGTACAGTAATTAGAGTTTTCCACTGTCTGGCTGTGCAGTAATCTGAGGACTGAGGTAAGGACAGCGTTGTGTGTTCAAAGATAGAGTCAGTTTGGCTCGTTGCATTAGGAGTTTTGCGCTGGAAGGCAATGTAGAAGCATTAATTAAATCACAATTCATTGTTATCGCACTGGAATCATTATTGAAATGTCACTCAACCTTTTGGGGTTCCAGCAAAGAAATGTTGGGTAAGAGCCAAATCTTTTTTGAAGGGTTGTAAAAGTTTATGAACCCTTTTATAAAGCAAAATTACTAATATTACTACTCACTTATCCTGATCGCGTGAAAATCACTGAGTTGTTTAGTCGATACTGTTAACCAGCAGAGAGACTGGTCTCCTTAATGGCTCTGCTGTTACCTGAGTGCATGCTGCAGACTCTGAAAAGCACCACCAAGTTTCTCCATTTGTTCATTTGTTTTCACTGGTGAGCAGAATGAATCCTGTTTAGTGATCCATTGTGAGTGAAACTGGGCTTCCTCAAGTAGGTCAGCTGGAAGATTCAGACTTGGAACAGAACACAGCAGTGTGGAGCTCTGCAGAGAAGTTGTTGTTAGATTTCCAAAGAACAGACAAAAAGGATGTTTGATGCCCGAGTAGATCTGGAAACATGTCTGTAGAATCTGACAGCTCTTTCTGTTTGGTTAGCTGAGACCACAGGGAGTCATTGTGTGGCTGGTGTCTGATTCAGAACACCAGAGTGAAACGTGCTTATGCTTTGAAATTGATTGACAGGTCTTTAACAAGGACTAACACGGGAGAAAACTAACAACTGTTTAACATCTGTAACCCAACTTCTTTCCTTATGCTTGGGAATGTATGTCTAATGTAATTGGTCAGAAATGATGGGTGTTTCCAGCAAACAGGTGCCATAACATAACTCTGCATGTTTTCTTAATTAGTGACCAATTCTTTTCCAAATGGCCTTGGACCTGTTTGTACCCAGCTCCGATGACAAACTTTAACCTGGAAGGTTGTTTTTGAGGTTCATCTCAGCACCCGAATGACCATAAGCGAACGCGTCTCTGGTTTAACATAACTGAGCCTTGACTCCTACATCCTCCAAGTGTGCAGGACATTCAAATTCATGAAACTTCCCTAAAAAACATAATTAATAGTGTGAAAGTACCACAGAAAATGTGAGCCCATCATCAACACAACTTTTGTTACCCTTTTTTCTATATATTTTTTCTATGCGCATTAGATGCACGAGCTTATATGCAAAGCATTGTAAGTAGAATAAGACAAGATCAACTTTGATCATACAGTTACCATAAAGGTGACTCGAGGACTGATATCTGTCACAGACTCAACAAAAATGAACATTTAGAAAGTTTAGTGAGGAATCCTGTAAGGTGACAGGAGAGAGTGTGGTATCCATGTTGGCCTAAAAACACACAAAAAAACCCCTTTTAACGTTGTGGGTTTTTTTGGCCTCCCCTCTGTGCACTCTTCTTCTAATCAGACAGTGTCAGAGTCATTTGCTGAGGTTCGGAGATAATCTGACATCTGTGCCAAAATGGTTTGTCAGTGAAACTGTTCAGAATGAGTTCTCTGGATTATCTTGAGTATCTGCGTCACTGCATTTAGAAAGTGATGTTGCACACATTAACAAAATCTTTAGCTCTGGCACCACAAATGCCAACTGGGGTGAGCGACAAAGCTATGGAAACTTTTTCTTGATGAATTTGTAACACTCTGCCTACAAGGATAAAACACAGACCAAAGCCTAAATCAAGGGGAAATGTGGTTACTTGTTGGCATAAGTATTCTGTAGACACCATGTTGCCAGATTTGTAGACTTTGAATATGTGGGGTGCAGTTTTTGTGACATCAGAGGTCCTGCTTTAACTGGCCCAGTCATGTGACCTGTCGTTTTGTGACGGGGTGAGGATGTTCCTGTGTGACTTCAGCTGAACTTTGTAGCTGTGAGAGGATCGTGAAGTTAAAGAGTAAAAGGTTGCAATGAAACTACTGGAAACTGCTTGTGGGTCATATGTTCCTCCAGGTTGTTTGTGGTATATTGCTGTGTTGAATTCATATAACGTAGCAATTTGAGCATTGTCTGCAGCTGAACTGTAGGCCTATGCTGCTGTGTTCACAGGAGGGTTAAACTAAGCAGAGGTTTATCCTCTTACCTTATTAGAAGAAATGCTGACTTCTCTCTGGCTCTGTAGGAAACAACTAATATTCTGGCTCATGTTAAATCTCTTATAGGGAGCAATTCTTTATTGGGGTGATGTTCACGGCAGGTGCTGTGTTGCAGTGCGCCAGGATGAAATCATCTCCTCACTCTCTGCCCTGTCTGTTCATCCCTGCCCACTGCCCGCTGTGTGGCAATGCATCCCTGCAGTAACCACTCCAGTCATGTGCTGATGATGTTTTGTCTTACTAAGAGAACTCTTCCTGGATCTTAGCCTCTTATTAATTAAATTTCTCCACAGGTGTTCAATGCAAAAACAGCCGAACTGATAAGTCACCACCAAGTAGAGATCAACCAGAGCTTCCCCAAGGAGGGGTGAGTTCCTTGACCTTTATTATAGGGGCGGGGAAAGAAATCCATTCCCTTAAGCATTGTGATTTTTTTATTATGATTTTTAAATTACTGAATTTTAGTTTAATCGAATTGAATCGCAATACTTGTAGATTGGCAATACTTAAGAATAGCAAGACATATTAAATTGCCATCCAAGTACCGTGATAGATAGTATTGAATCAGGAGATACCCATATCTTCCCGGCCCTACTTTATAATTGGGCTGCAAGTATCACTTTATTATTCATTAAAAATAAATCTGCCAAGTAAATTTAATTTAATTGATTACTCATTTGTCGATAAAATGCCACTACATTCCTGTGACGTCTTCAAATGTCTTGTTTTGACCAGACATTCAGTTTACTATTATGACTGACAAAGAAAAGCATCAAGTCCTCACCTTTGAGAAGCTAGAAATTAAAAGCTAAATTACTGAAACAGTTACTTGTTTATCAAAAGAGTTGCAGATTAATTTTCTACTATATTCTGCTGGTACAACTGGTTGTACAATGAAGAGTGTGGATGGATGTTTACTTGCTAAATAACTTTATATACACAGAAATATTAAAAGATGTTGTAATAAATGTGCCTTCCGTTTTACTGAGGTTACAATTTAACAGCATTTTAGATTAATATCTTACTTCATTTGATGAATCAATGATTGAGTCTAAGGTCCAGCTCTTATTTTATTGTACAAAAGCTGGCTTGGTTGATACATATTCAGATGTTACTGTGTACTCCCATTGAAAATCTGGTTGATGGACATGTGTATAAGGTACCAGAGTCCATATATTTGGCTCATCTTGTTGTATAGTCCAGGTCAGAAACAGTCTAGGCTGTGTAAATAATAGATGATAAATGATAATCTATGTTTTCTTACAGAAACAGTAGCTGAATGTAAATCCTGGATATTCTTACACATATCCTGAAGCTACCAGTGATTAATTTAGGTCATGTTGAAAGGTTACATAAGCCAGGGGAGGCACAGTTTAATGAAACTAATTCTCAGAAAGACCCTGTAACCTCAAACCCACTAACCTGGTACAGGCCTCTGATAGGCAGCAGGGAACAGGGAGCAACTGCAGCAGCAGCCACACACAACTACGCTGTATGTAGATGATTTCTTTACACCCTTGGATCTCTTTAGACCAAGTGCAAAACTGACTGATGTGTGTGTGTGTGTGTGTGTGTGTGTGTGTGCGCACGTGGGATTTGTGTGTTCACGTCTGTGTTTGTGTCTCCATCAGCTGGGTGGAGGAGGACCCCAAGGAGATAATGCAGTCTGTCTATGAGTGCATGGAGAGGACTTGTGAGAAACTCTGCCAGCTCAACGTCGACATCTCCAACATAAAAGGTGGGACACCGTTGCTGTGCACACCTATGTCTCAGGGTGGGTGCTGACCTGTGGGTGGAGATGTATTAAGCACACCTACACCTGCAGTTTGATGGGAGAACGAAACAACGGAGGGGAATGGGTTAAAGTAGGTGGGGTTTATTGACATTTACGTTGTTGCTGTTTTCTCAGCGGTGGGGGTGACCAACCAGAGAGAGACCACCCTGGTTTGGGACAAAGTGACCGGAGAGCCACTCTACAATGCCATTGGTGGGTACATGATATATCTGAATGAACAAGTATCACTGTCATATATTCCTATTGGCATATATTACAGACATATATACGTATATTGAAGTGTTAAGTCTCATACTTGTGAAGTGAGACTTAACACTTCATACTTCTTAGCTGTCACGTCTTTCATTGAGCAAAGAAGCAGATGATGTCATCTGGGAAACCGCACAGAGCAGTAGGTTGCGTCAGATTGTAGTGTCCTGTCATGCCTGTCCCTGCCCTTCCACCCACCACCACATGATTCACTGTTGGAGCTGAACACATGCAGTCCTCCGCCCTCAAGGCCTGTGTGCTAATATTACTAGCAAAGAGAAGCTTTCATTTTCAACCTGTTTGTGTGCACAGCAATTCTTCCAGAGGCTAGAATGGCCACTCGTCTTGTCTAGAGGCACTATGTGTAAAAAGAGTTTGAAGTGATTTGAAATGGCACAGTTTCACATAAAATTCTGTGCAGAATTTTAACTTCAGTCTTAACACCAAATCTATGAGGTTCAAAAAGAAAATGCTACGAGAAAATAAATAAATCTGAATGTTCTTTATTCCCTTTGTGAAGTTTCACCTCTTTACACAGCTGAACATTATAACTGGTATTGGTTGAGATGAGTCTATACTGACATTTGGTATAGCAGCCCCCGCTGCAGGAAAATGCACCAGCACTGCTCTTGTGTGTAAGTCTTCCTCTGCTTTGTGTGTAGTTTGGCTGGACCTGCGCACTCAGTCAACAGTGGAGCGGCTCATCAGCAAAACTCCGGGACAAAACAAGAACCATTTCAAGGTGAGGTGTACAGAAAGGATCTCCTTCATTTGTTTTTAGGTTTTAGAGTTTAGATTCAGGCTGCAGCATTCAAAACCCCCAGAAATATCAGCAGGATAAGCAGGTATAGAAAACATATGCATGTGTGATTGGAATCCTTTGATTCTGAATGACTAAAGCTCTGTCATAGATGGTGGACAGTCTGGGAGATTCTCTGTTTCGATACTAAAATGAGGGCGTCTTTTACCTTTTGATTGTCTGATATGTGATTATCTTCAGGTTGAGGTTATTCTTAGTCCAGCCCCATAAGCACAACTCTCCTTTTTATACCAAACAAACACTTCAATCAGTTTTTACTGTCCTCTCTCCAGCACAAGACGGGCCTTCCCATCAGTACCTACTTCAGTGCAGTGAAGCTACGCTGGCTGCTGGACAACGTGGACGAAGTGCGACAGGCAGTGCTAAGTGAGCGTGCCATGTTTGGGACGGTGGACTCCTGGATTATATGGGTAAGAGCTGCTCAAAGCCTGCAGCTGTGCACCGGCCCTGCGTCAGATGGCACTGTATGACTCCTAATGTGAGTCAAAGTGAGGCGGCTCAAGAGAAGATGCTGTGCTTTTTCTTGACATGACCGATATTAAAATCAAGTTTCCATTTGTGAAACAATGCTATTGATCCAGGGTTTCACTGAGGAAAAAGTACAGCATTTGATGCAAGCTTGGTCCCGTGTTGTTTTTCCTCAGTGCCTGACGGGGGGCAGGAACGGAGGGGTCCACTGTACAGACGTCTCAAATGCCAGTCGCACCATGCTCTTTAACATTCACACCATGGACTGGGATCCTGAACTCTGCAGGTAAACAAACAACATACAGACCTGGAGAACACACACAGTCGGTTTGGGTGACAAGTACTGCAAATGTAACATGTTAGCAAGAAAAGCTTTTAAGGCTTTCAGCTTCAAATTGATGATGATGTTATGGCCATACTACCTTAAAGCTGAGTCAGCACTTCACTGAGTCAATAAACCGGATAAGACACATGCCTTTGGTGTGAGAGACCCGGGATCAATTCCCCACTGTGACCCTACTACCATTGTGTCCCTGAGCAAGACACTTAACCCCTAGTTGCTCCAGAGGCGTGCGACCTCTGACGTGTATAGCAATGGTAAGTCGCTTTGGATAAAAGCGTCAGCTAAATGAATAAATGTAATGTAAATCCAATCCAATTCAAACCACTATAAATGCACTGAAACTATATAGTATTTTTCGACCTTATCTGACAAGTGGCTTTACAGTTGACCTCTCGTTCACACACACACACACACATACATTTGCACTCCAGTGGTCTGTCCACTGGAAGCAACTTAGGGTTCGGGGTCTTGCCTAAGGACACTTTGACATGTGGACAGCAGAAGCTGGAGATCAAACTGCCAACCCAGAGCCGCTCCAAATACTGCGTACTATATATCCTTTCAATTACAACATACCATCTTCCCGTCCGTTAGGTGTTGTAGTTTCTAACTATGTATACAGGTTGCATCATGTGTGCTACATTAGAAACTGCTGACTGTAACTGTGCTGCCTGTAGGTACTTTGATGTCCCGATGGAAATCCTCCCCAAAGTCAGAAGCTCCTCTGAAATATACGGCTGGATGGTAAGCACAGTCAACCTGTGTGTGTGTGTGTGTGTGTGTGTGTGTGTGTGTGCGCGAGTTTTCAAAGGCGCTGTATGTTTCAGTGATACTTTGTGTTTTGAGAGAACGTGACATGACCTGACCGATTTCTTTCTCAGCGTATTCCAGAGCTGTCAATGAAGACTAACTATAATCATAAAATATTCAGGTGAATGGTGTCATGAAACACTTGGATCACTGTAACAGCCATATAAATTGATAAGATAGAAGAGGTGTGTAATTCTTCAGAATAGCAGATAATGTAATGATAGCGTTGAAGTGAAGTATTTCCAGCTCAAATATTATTGTTCTTTGGGATAGGCTATACTTCTGAGCTGATATCAGAGATGGTAATGTGTACAAATAGCAATGATGTGCTTTTTAATAAAGGGGTAATACTGCATTTCCCGCAGCTTTAAGCACTAACAAGTATATAAAGCTTGCTTTTGTATGGTTTTACTTGTAAAGAAGGGACAGATTTTGTATCTTTCATCACATGCTTACAAAAATATTTAATGTTATTATTTCACATGCTACAAAGACTGAGTGTTTCCGTTTTTGAGCGTGCGTTTCCCGGTTGTTGATTCTGGATTCATGGATTACTATAACAATTTAAACAGAGTACAAGTAAATTAAAATTCCTCATTGTGGTCTCACCCTGAAAAATTAGATTATGCTCCGTAGTGCTTTTTGTGTTTTTGTTTCTAAACGCTGTTTTCTGCCGTCCCTCTCTGGTAACTTTTACCAGAGAAGAGCTCTTAAATATTGGACTTTCAACTGCTCGTACTATTCCACCACTCCTTAACGAACCCGGAACTTTCCCGGAGCTATTAGTTGGAGGAGCAGCAGCTCTGCATGGGATCTACTAGAGATGCCACAGGGGAAAACGTGCTGGCACGCTGGTTAAACTGAGACAGCTGCTTCTCCTCAGCAGTACTAACTCGGACTTCTGCAGATCTGCTGCCCTCTGTTTCACCAAAGCCTGGCTCACCGAGCGCATCTACAGATACGAAGGTTGGTGTACAGATGTCACAGTGTCTTGCAGCCCTCACTTAGAGACATTATTTATAAACTGTAAGCCTTTTTATTCACCGCGGGAGTTTTCCTTGTTTGTCCTGGTCGCTGTTTACATTCCGCCACAGGCCTGTGTCAGTGAGGCGTTACTACACCTGGCCGACCAGATAACTAACGTGGAGAAAAAACACCCAGACTCCCTGCTCATTGTTCTTGGGTACTTTAACAAAGCAAACCTCAGCCACGAACTCCCAAAGTACAGACAGCATATTAAGTGTCCCACCAGGGACACTAACACACTGGACCACTGCTACACAACATTAAAGGACGCCTATCGCTCTGTCCCCCGTGCAGCCTTGGGACTCCCTGATCACTGTCTGGTTCATCTTCTCCCGACACACAGGCAACAACTAACATCTGCTAAACCTATTGTAAAGAGTGTGAAAAGATGGACTAACGAGTCAAAGCTGGAGTTACAGGCCTGCCGGAGCCCAACACTGACACCATCATCAAGAAGGTCCAGCAGAAGATGTACTTCCTGCGTCAGCTCAGGAAGCTCAACCTGCCTAAGGAGCAACTGCTGATCCAGTTCTACACAGCCATCATCCAGTCTGTCCTCTGCACGTCCATCACTGTCTGGTTTGGATCTGCCACCAAAAAGGACAGGAGCAGACTACAACGGACAGTCAGGACTGCAGAAAAGATCATTGGTGCCAACCTGCCCTCCATTCAGGACTTATACATTTCCAGAGTCAGGAAACGGGCAGGAAACATCACTGCAGAGCCATCTCACCCCGGACACAACCAGCTTCTCCCCTCTGGTAGGCGCTACAGAGCAAAAAAAGAAAACCAACAGGCTCAGGAACAGTTTCTTCCCACAAGCCATCACTCTGATGAACCGCTGATTTCTGACTCGCAGTGTCAGGAACAATTCCTGTGCAATAACCCAGTAACTCTGTCTCTAATCAGCCACCTGTTTACTGGCTAACACTCATTATTTATTCATCATTCTCTATTTGAGAGCTGTTCATATTCTCATTTGGTATATTGTAGTAGTAGTAATAATAATAATAATAATAATAATAATAATAATAATAATCCTTATTTGTAGAGCACTTTTCAAAAACAAGTTACAAAGTGCTTTAACAAGTGTAAAGAATAATACAAAAAAACAAGATAAGAGCATGAAAACATTGAAAAGACTAAAATACAGATTAATATAAAATTAGTATAATACAATAAAATAAAAAGGATAAAATAAATTCAAATAAGATCGGGAAAGGCTCTCCTAAAAGTATGTATGTACTGTATACCAAATCCATCTACCTCAAGTACATAATACCTGCACATAATACTTGTTATTTCCAGCATCCTGCTCCACCGCACTGTGTACATGTATGCATGTATGTGTATGCGCACCTGTATAGAGGGTATACGCATGACGTAACAGAACGCAGTTATGCTCACTGAGTGGCAGAAAGACGAGCAGCACCACATCTAAAGTGGGAAAGAGCTGCACCACTGGTTCTTTGGTAAGCAGTAAGGATCACTGTTGAGTCCGACTGCCTTTAATCTGACCAAATAATCACTTGTTTTACTCCCAGTTTGCTAAACGCAGCCATGGTAACAGATGTTTTGCCACTCTTGTTCAGCGTGTTCCGGACGTGGAAGTGACATCAATGCATACCCTCTATATCACATCCACCTTCAACATGTACATAATAATTTTACTCCTGCATCCTTTGCACTCTGCTCATTGCGCTATACTGTTTTTGTTTATATATGTGTTCTCTATATTGTAGCCTGTTTCTGATTGTATTATTGTATTATTGTATAAGTAAGCACATCGTGAGCATTGTGCAATCCAGAGTCAGATTCCTTGTATGTGTACACATACCTGGCAATAAAAGCTGATTCTGAATGGCCTGATAAGATGCTGTTGTGCCACACGGGCAGATGGTTTATACAGATTACTTGGCACTGATTTGAAGCAGTAATGATGGTCTGTCCTGCTCTGCTATCATGTGTCTTTGTTTGTTTATGCTCATATCTTACAACATGGTCTTAAGTGTTAAATCTGTTACAAGCAAACACGCACCTTGGCCTGCGATCCAGAGGTCAGCAACGCGGCAGCTTTGTTTGTTTTCATCTTTGTAGGTCTGATTTTTATGTTATCTCAGGATCCTGATTCAGAAAGCAGGTTTAATGGAAACTCAAACTGTTAAGCCTAAGATGAGGGAAAATCTGTCATTGATGTAAAATGATGAAACATGAAAAACATGATGATGAGGACGACTGTGGTGCAGCTGGAACAACTTTCAGATTCTAAAACTGGAACAAATGTAGTTTAAAAGGGAGTTATTAAATACTAGCTGCAGATGTGTTTTGACAGCATTTCATTAAATGAGAAATAAGCAAGATTTTTAAATGTAGAACAAACGTCTAAAACTTTACCTGAACCTAGACACATTTTCAACTGCAAATCACCAAAATCATTATTACTGGGTCAGACTGTGACTTTACAACCACAGGTCCATGAGTAAACTGTGTCTTATCTGTTCATATTTTCATCTTCAGGTATTATAAATATTATTTATTTGTCCCTGTCAGTTTACAGCTGAATAATTATTTTTGGAAATCAAATGTAACCTACAGAAGGTTTTCAGCACTTTTTCATTCTTTAAAGAAATTCATGTCTGGTAAATGCTGAATGAGCCACGCTGAATAGAGTGTGTGTTAATTTATTGACTCCTTTGCCGCTCTGAAACTGAAAACTCAGAGTTTGTTAAAGCTGCTTTCTGAAACAGGGCCCTGATCTTTTTGTTATTTACTACCACTACCCACATCCTGCCAAACCTACCTATGAATGGCAGCTCATCCATTTGGTAAGAAATGGTTCTAACAACCTGTTGGCAATTAAAATAAATGAATAAATAATACTAGAAAGAATACAGGTTCTTTGGCTGTTACTTTGTTTGCAAAGCATTTTTAGTATATATTTAAAAATCCATCAACTACAGAAAAGATCCAAACTTTCTGCAGCGCTGGTGTTTAACTGGAGATGGTCAAAGGTGTTGCAGCTGTTAACAAGATAAGGCGATAACTTCAATAATAAACAATTCCCTATTAGGTAATAAAAATTCCCCACCCTGATTATGATAAATCTTTTCCTGTCTATGTATGATGTATTACACCATGGGATTTATTACATTAAGCTGGAAATCTTCACTGATAACATACTGAATCATGGGATTGCTACAGTCACCATATTCATCTAGTTTTAGCAGTGTGCATGTCATTACTCATGTTCATAAAATGAGGTCTTTTAGGTGATATAAGAAAGCAGTACTGTTGATAGACTATCTATTATTCTAACTCATTACATGAATGTTTTTATCACACTGGATTATTATATTCTTGGCCACAAATGGGTATTTCACATGCTGAGACCTGTCGTTACCCCACGTGTGACAGTGAGCATCCTCTTGCTTGTTCCAGATGTTTTCAAAGTAGACAGACCTACTGTAGTGTTTGTTCTTGCTGTGTGTTTTTGATGAGCAGTTCGTATTTTCTTGCAGCCATTTATCCAAACTCTAAACACTCGTCTTTTTCTGTCTTCTTACCAGAACTCCGGCCCTCTCGCAGCAGTTCCCATCTCAGGGGTAAGGACTGTAGCATGTTACATAAGCGTGTCAGGATAGTGACATCTGTTTCTGCTTACACATTTGAGTGACAGATTTTCCACCAGAGCCCCACCATACTTTGCCCAGGGTAATATTAGCCTATCGCAAATATATAGTGTCAATGCTTATGTCGGCCTAAAAGTAACAAGACACTGATCTTTAGGCATTTGTACACTGCAAAGCCACACACCACACACTGGTTCATTTCATTATGCTAGTTGCTAGTATAATGTAATATAATACATGCATGGCCTTCTAACAGCGATCTTGTCTCTATCAGTGTCTTGGGGACCAGTCGGCTGCCTTGGTTGGTCAGATGTGCTTCAAGGAAGGCCAGGCCAAAAACACGTAAGCCATCCACTGTTTTTGCTACAATAGTTTTTCAATACTTGGTCGCACCGCTTAAGTGGTGGCTAGATTATGTCACACCATAACGTAACTTTTTCATATATACATGGATTTCTAAAATTAACATTTTAAACTCCCTCATTAAACTATTTTCAAGCTGCTGTACTCTCAGCAATATGTGTCCATTATTATGAATAGGGAGGCAAAGATATATCATTTAGAATAAAACCAATGTTCCCCAGACGAACAGTGTCAAATGTTGCTAAAGAGGTCTTGAAGGTGCAGATTTTAGCGAGAAACATGATTAAATCCCTAATGTACATGCAGTAAGGCACGTTTCGCAGCTCATTGTAGAAAATTAGGAAGTAAGGAGTAAGTAAGTACTTTCCCCTACTTATTCCTGACAAACTTTTAATCAACTTCACAGTATATTAGACAAAAATAGACAGAGAATTGTATCAACTCCATCAAAAACTACAACAAGTAACTTATTGAGTCTTAGAGAATGTCATCAATTATCCAGTCCTGGTCTCTGGTCTGTTTGACTCTTATCCCGTTCTTGTCATGTAAAGGTACGGGACTGGTTGCTTCCTGCTCCGAAATACAGGGACCAAGGTAAGATATGCTGCCCAAGAAAATATGTCATGGGACTACATTTTGAAGAACATTCCTGTCTTCTGTTTTTGCTCCCTCACGCCGTATAATGTTCTTCCTTCTGATTCCCAGCTTGTGATGTCAGACCACGGCCTGCTCACCACAGTAGCCTACAAGCTGGGAAAAGACGAGCCTGCCTGCTATGCATTGGAGGTGTGTCAAAACATTCATTAGTCCTTCATTTTGAACTAGGTTTTGTTCCTAAATGGCCTCCACACTGCAACACTGCCCCTCCTCGTTGTGTCTTGTGTCTGCTCTGATGTGATTTGGGTTTTTCTTTCTTCCTCCCAGGGTTCAGTGGCCATCGCAGGGGCTGTGGTACGGTGGCTGAAGGACAACATGGGCATTGTGCAGTCTTCCTCAGAGATCGGTACTTACACTGTAGCATCGGACCTGAAATTGTGTGACGACTCGTTTATAAACAAAATACAGTCACGGTTTTGGGGTGAAACGCTTTCAAATCTGTCTGTAGCAGCCGGGTTGCTTTTTGATTGTATAAAAAAAAAAGACATGTTTGTGTTTGAATAACTCTGTTGTTTTTCTCACTTTGTCACAGAGAAACTAGCAGCTGCAGCAGGCACGTCTTACGGCTGTTACTTTGTGCCGGCTTTCTCCGGGCTCTATGCCCCCTACTGGGAGCCCAGTGCAAGAGGGTGAGACTCTCAGCTGTTAAAACACATGTTGAATTATTAACTGTAGTGTGATCCTGAAATGAGGAGACGGGGAGAAATCATCTGGTAATAATGTGATACTTGTTTGATGCTAGAGCGGCTGTTTTCTTGTGTAGATTCTTAGTTTCTTCCACAGATACACATCAGCAGTGAAAGCATTACATACAGTATAGCTGACCTAATTGTAAGTCTATAAATTGCCTAAATGACAGCGTTATAGCTCGTATTTTTAATCTGTTTCCTTTTCCAGCATCATCTGTGGGCTCACTCAGTTCACCAACAGGAGCCACTTGGCGTTTGCAGCCCTTGAGGCTGTCTGCTTTCAAACCAGAGAGGTGAGCAGTGTCTCCTTTCTTCTTCCTGCTTTGCGGGCGTGGTGTTTGTCGAAGAGGTGGTTGAGATATGCACACGCAACCTGTCCCATAGCCACAACAAAGGCATACTGCACAGTGATACTCGCTGTTGTCACAACTGCCGGCACATTCACTGATGTATGACAGCTTGTCTTTGGTACATTTCTCAAATCATCCTTAACATTTGAAAAAAACAGTAAGTGCGTTTCTCCAAACAGTTGTTCAAACAGCATCACACGGCGCATTACCTGCAAAAATCTATCTCTCAAAAGTAAATATTTGTGTCATCAGAAGGACAAGTCCTTGTGTCGTTTTTAACAAACAAGATGGTCAAAATACTTTTCCCTGCTGTCAGGATAACAACAGTGTAAAGTGATGTAAACTATGGCTAAGGTTTGGATGACAATGACTGAAAATGCACCTGGCTGCACTTTTTCTGTCTGGCATAAATCACTTTCAACAGTACAAAGTGATTACAAGAGACTGGACACGATTCACATTTGGGCCTTATGCTGTTTGTACTGTAATTTGTTGACAGAGCATGTCATTGTGATACAGAAAAGAAAAAGACATGAATGTTTTACAGCACTGCAGAGCACAATGGAAAAGTCATCAAATTAGAAATGTAAACATGGGAAACAGCCCTTAGGCTGATGTTCATGTCTGTCAGGCCACAGATTCTCATAAACCTCACAAGAGATATCTTCAACAAAACAGGACACATTTATAAAAAAAAAAGTCTAATAGACATGTATAGAAAATATGATTGACTGATTATTTAAGACAGAACAAGACAGAACGTAAGACATTTTGCATGTAGTGACTCTGCAATGAACTAATGCCTTGATGTTTTATAAGCAGTATATTACATATGTATACAGTATACTACATATGTATACAGTATACTACATATGTATACAGTATAATACATATGTATACAGTATATGTATACACTACCACTACGGTTTGTTTACTTGTGAGGTAAACTCAAAAGACACTTGACTTCCGTCGCACGTAGTCACAACGGCCACCTTTATAGGAAATTTTACAAAACTTTGGAAGAGGTTTTGTGTTGGTGGTATTGGCTAAAATTGGAGTGTGTTTAAGTATGTGGCACATTGTGTGTCTCAGATCCTTGATGCAATGAACCAGGACAGCGGCATCCCCCTGACGCAGCTGCAGGTGGATGGAGGCATGACGTCCAACAGATTACTGATGCAGCTGCAGGCCGACATCCTCTGCATTCCCGTAGGTAAGAGGACTCTGAACGCACGCGCGTGTGTATTCATACACTCAAAAATACAATAAATATACAGGTCACTTATTGTACATACACTACTATTCATGCCAAGATGCAATCCAAAGTGCTGATCATTTAATGCGGACAAAAACAAGTGTGCATCCATGTACAGTGTAAAATGTAATGACACAAGTAAAGCTCAAATGTAAGGACAGTCAGTAGTTAAAGGGGGAACTGCTCTCAAGTCTGTTTCCAGGTTTTGGGGAATACTAATGTACATGTAAAAAACAGTTGTATAAAGCCTTTTTGGGTCCAGGGGGAGCTGTGTGAAACCTGAGATATTGGCGGGCTGGGGCTGAAGACTGGGGGTGTGGAGTCCTCATCTCTGTTGCAGACTAGAGACTCCAGGCTACATTTGCCACTACTAGCATAACGCACCTGAATCTCTGACCGAATTGTTGGTGTTGTAGTTGCATTGTAGGTAATGTATAGGGTTGGGTATGGAGAACCGGTTCCAAGAACTGTGGATTCGATAAGACCTGTGGATTTAACTTCTGCTTATCAGTTCCTGACTCTCTACATATTTCAGTGGCGCTCCTGAATGAACTGCAGTGAGCATTTAACAGTCCAACTCCTTTTACTTTAGCCATGTAGTGGAAGAGGATGAAAGTCACTGAACGGTGACAAGATTCATGGTGAAGGGGTCGGAATCAGGACCGGATTTTGAAAAGGACTGGATTCAATAAGTAGAACTGGAATCAGAATCGGAACTGATAAAATTAAAACGATACCAGCACAAGTAATGTAGGCCCCGGGTTTTGACAAAGAAGAATTTGTGGAATAGAAGATGATATTGTGCTGCTTTTTTTTTAACTGGCCATCAACAGCGCTACAGGAGTGCAATGCTAAATCAGTGGAGGACTCAGGGCAGCAACAGCTTCACTGAAGTTTATTGAGAATATTTCTTAAGGGGCTTTGTTGATGTAACAGGGAAAGGTAAGACAGGTCTAGCTTAGAGTAATTTAGCTGACCCCATAAGTGTTTTCTGACATTCTAGCTTTAGGTATTTCTCACATGTACTTGTCCTTGTCAGGGAGACAACAATAGACTGATTAGTTAGAGACAGTAGCTCAGGCATCAGGCTAGCAGATATCAGTGTTCTCTGGGAATCTTACAAGGTTGAGTCCTTTAAGAATGTTTACAAGAACTCACTGGCAGAGTACAACTTATGGATTGTGATAGATTCTAGTATGACGAAGCATTGGAGTCTAAACATCAGATCAGATAGATTTGTTTTTCTAGGTTAAGGCCAGCTAAAGATAACCCTATAGAGAAACCTACAGGCACACAAGAGAGAAACATAAAAGGGACCAAAAGACGTTATCCTTCAGATTTGGTGTTTGCATTTGACGTGTTCACATGTTGTATGCTCAATAAACCATGCTATGTTAAGTCATCATCAGTCTCTGAAACTTCTTCACGCCTGACAGCTGGCTCACAATAATTCTTCAACAAAGTTGTCTCTCCTACTTCAAACAACAACTTTGAATTTAGAAATCTAAATGTGGGTAACCATGGACCTAAGTTTGAACCTGGACTTGATGCCCTCTCTGTCTTCCTGACTTTTGTCCCATTTATAAAAACACACGCAAACCTTGACTATGATGTACAAGAGTAGGGTAAGAGCACAGATTTACTGGTGCGTACATAACTGTACCTATGAACACTACGTTAGTCAACACTGAATTTACATGTTGGCGGGTGAATTTACACCTGCCAAGTAAAAATATAAATATAGGATAGAACAGATTGTTCCTAATTTATTTTTCGTGTGTTTGTGTCTGTCTCATGTGGGCCAGTGCGACCCACCATGTCAGAGACAACAGCTCTGGGTGCAGCCATGGCAGCGGGGGCAGCAGAGGGGGTGGAAGTGTGGAGCCTGAGCCCCGGGCACCTCCCACAGGTCACGAGTGAGAAGTATGAGCCGCAGATCAACTGTGACGGTGAGGAAGAAAGAGCCAGAGGAAATGTTTGTTGCACCTTCTAGCGACTTGATGCAGTTGCATTTGATTCTTGGCTTGTGATTCTGAAAGGTCCTCAAACATGCAACACTTAATTTGCTGCCATCTAGTGGATGTTCGCATCATGACAGTGTGTCTCTGGAATCGCTCTGTGTCGCCTCACACTGTGGCAGACCGTTTGAACATTAATCCTTAAGACTTTGCAATCTAAAAGCTACTAGTATTTATTAATTAGTTACTAGTAACTATTCCAGTAGTAGTACTAGTATCATTTTGTTTAGTTATTGGTGACTAATTGCACATTTTTACCATATAAATCTATGGGGCTTCCATTTTCCATTTTAGTACCTATTCATGAGTCACTAGTAACTATTCCAAAAGATACAAGTAACATTTTCATTCTTATTAGTAATTTTTGGGGGGGTTACCAGTGATTAATTACAATGGCTTGTTGAAAGTACATAACATTTTAATTCATACTAGAAAGAATAAAATGGTTACTAGTAACTAAAAAATAAGCACTTGTAGCTAAATAATATTGACAAGTAAAATAGAGATGTTTACTAGTAAACACTAGTAGTAGTAGTAGTCTAAAAAGTTACTTGTAACTAATGGAATAGTTACTAGTAACAAAAAATTAAGTGCTAGTAGCTAGTACTAATAGCGACTACTGAGTTTGCCATACAGCAAACAACAGCTTGCCATAGTTATGTGGTATTAGTTACTAGTTAATAGAAAAATAGTTACCAGTAACAAACAATTTAGTACTAGTATCTAGTCAATTGTTGTGAAACAGGAATAGTTACCAATAACAAGATAAGTACTAGTAGCTTATAAATAGCTAGTAGTTAGTTTTAAGGAATAATTGTTAAAACAGCCTGCTATACTCACGGGTCTGTCCTCTTTACAGAGAGCGAGTTCCGCTTTGCTCGGTGGAAGAAAGCCGTCCAGAGAGCCATGAACTGGGAGACCACAGAGCCTTGCTTCAATGCCAACGGTACACATTTAGTTTTATTTAAGAAATGCATGAGAGAAGTGAGAAGTTATTCCAGCAGTCTGTGACATGTAGGAATTGTTTTTAATAGCGTAATTTTTCCTGTGCCTCAAGTGGTGAACAAGTGCAGGAGTCTGACTGTGATCCATCTTGGATGCTGTCTTTCTCGTTCACCCACAACAGGTTTAGGAAAGAAGATGAACGGCGCCCCCTGGGGGGTCCCTCCCACCCCGCCACCCACCAGAGCGGACCCCTAAGGTCCGACGTTTACTACTGCTGCACGCAACACCGACTTCTTGTGTTAGTTATGGTGTGCCGGTTGATGGTGGCACGGTCATGTTTCTAGTTACTAACAGTGTGTTGAAGGGATTGACCGACAGGCCTTTCAGATCCAATAGGCATGTTTTTAGATTAGAAATGCCTCTATCATAATTGGACTGTTTTAATTGATGTTTTTTTATCAACTTTTTAAGGAAGAATGAATGCAAAAGGAAAAACCATCCAAGATTTTAAATGTAGCTGTACTTACCCGGACATTATTGTCAAAAGGAATCAACTCTGTCGGTCCAGTCCTAGCGTCTGTGTGGTATGGGTGTGCATGTTACTGTGTTTATTACTTCTTCCCACTTTCTTCCTGCTGACAGTAAGGGTGTGGTGCTCTGTCATTAGCTCAGCTGCTGTTGAAGGTTTAAGATGGGTTTAAACCAGGGTTGCCCCACTGCTGTGTCCTTGCAAGCTGAGGTTTGAACTGCCCCTGTGCTTTAGCCTAACTGCTTTGCATATTGATATTGCTCTGGTTAAAAAAGGCCGTCTGTCTCTCTAAGAACAACCATTTCTCACCTCACAGATCACAAGCAGTAATCGTGGTCCAAGACCTTCATGGGGAACATGGCAAAGCCTACTGTGGAGCAACACTAGAAGAGCAATGTGCTCGTATCCCATGGATGTGACGTGACTGAAAACAGTGATCATTAACCTGAAGTGCCAGCTGGACTGAAGACACAACATGATGCTTTTTAAAGCAACTATGGAACCATCGTGTCTGGAATTTCTTAGGCTTCCTTTTCTGAAAAAGGGAAAGTTTCTTAAACTTTTTAACCTGACCATGAATTTGCCTTCTTCAACCTGTACAGTAAAGCATAGGAACATCAGGTGTTCAGTCTAAAGTAAAGAGCAGCACTTCTGTACCACAACAGGATGCTGTACTGTTTGCTTTTCCATTTGTTCTGTACATAGTGTTTGTACTTTTTTCTTCTACACTTTGGAATGCACAAGATCCAAACATCTAAGCAGATGTTACGCATGTTATGTGACTAATTCAGTTTTGGAAAGTGGTCACTGCTCACCTTCCTTCCTGTGAAGTGGGGTTTGTTTTTGTTGGAACTTAAGAGGAATGTCCCTGCAGTCAAAGGTTTCATGAGATGTTTAAAAAAAAGTAATTTATTGGATGATTTAACGATGAGCTTCAACATTTTGGAATGAGGGAGAAAGTGTTAATGTTTTGACGGCTTTCCCCCTATGCAGAATTGACAGACACTTTGCAGGCTCTCACCAGCACTTTATAATTTATCCTGTGTATGGAGATGATTGTAGGAGCCATGCAGGGTTTTTAAAGGGAATAGCTTTTTTATCCCATTTTTTAGGAGGGAATTTTAATCCTCACAATCCTCCTCAATCAATCCACAGATACAACAGATTAAGATAAGGCAAAACAATAAAGTACATTTTGATTCTGTTCATAAACAATGTATATTTCTTCAGTCATACGGAACCACATGCTTTTAGATCCGAGCCATGGTACTGACCACTGACAAGTCACTTTAATTCAGAATGAAGACGCATCAAGATTAAGATCCATTCTGTGAAAATGGAACGTTTGGTTACTGTATTCATTTCTGGGGACTGATAACTGATCATTCTGATAGGGATTTACTTTAAAGGGTGTTTTCCACATTGTAAGATCCTATTTGTATACCTGCCAGTTGAAATTTGTTTGACATGATGTGTAGCAAGAGCGCTTGGCTCTGCGGGAATGTATAAGAGGCTGTAATTACTGTAGAACCTGACTTGAATAATAAAAATGTGTCAGCACTTAAAATGGTTTATATCAAGTGACTTCATTGGAATTAGCATCAGTAACATCTAGGGAATATGAATGAAGCAAACTGAATACATTCAAATTCAACAGATTTAATATTCCAGTCATGTGAAATTAAGAAATCTTAGAAAAGTGAGCAGGAAGTCAGCGGCCTCTGCAACACACAACATACACAAGCTGTATTGTTTTTTTTCTTGCCAGAGTTTTGACAACTCATTTGAAAGACATCAGTTTTGCATCTAGCCCTGCCCCCTACTCTGCCTCTGATTGGCTAACCCTAACCCGCACCTTAACCAACCCGAATTAATAGAGGCAACAAGTATCAACCAATCAGAGGCAGAGTTGTCGAAACTCTGGCAGGAAAACAAATGATGTCATCCAAAGTGATGTTACTTTACATTTACAAAATTTTTTTTCACAACTCATAGGAGGAAATGGGCCTAAACGACATCTGAGGGGAGGTGTGGCCTACACCTGGTCCAGAGCAGAAAGTTCCTGTAAAAAAGGGCAGTTCACTTTAAGGGGCTCAGCGGGAGAACTGCCGCTTGTCACCCTTTCCTTTGTTGACGTGCTTAAATATTTTGGATTTGTGCACGTTGTTGGACTTCTGGTATCCGAAACCGCCTCCACCGCCTCGCTTCTGCAACTTTGCACCTTTACTGCTATGGACGTCTGGAGAGAAGCGTTAAGGAAAGCAACGTTTTTAATCAGACACTTCCAGATCATTCTACGTGACATGAGGAATACAAATCAAACAGTGTCCAGGGGTAAATGGGACACAACTTGTAGTATTGCAGCAAAGGATACTCAGGTCAACGTATGGAGGAACTTTGAAGCCAAACGACAGCGCCACCATGGGGAGGTTGAGGGTGTTCACGCTGTAGATCTGTTTGAGCGAATGGGAGTCGTAAGCCCTCACGTAGGACTTGTAGGCCTCTTGGGCTGACTTGTGGAGATAGTAGTTCTTCTCAATCAGCTTCTCAAGCTAATGAACAAGAGGTAGTTTGAAATTAGACTTTGTTTTTGAATATCTTTTTAATAGGGCTGAACGATTTGGGGAAAAATCTAATTGTGATGTTTCTAGGAGGTGTATGGCGCTTGTGACTGGCGAGCAGATCTGTCACACAAGACAACGGAATGAATTTGTAACTGCTTGACTGTCTAAAACGCGTCAGGTGTGCTGTATAATTAACCTACATTTTAATCGATCTTTACGATTAGCTAATCGCGTTCTTTAAAATCGCAATTTTGATTTGAAAACAATGAATCGTTCAGCTCTACATTTTTTTAATAACTACAGATAAATAAAAACTAGCATTTAAAGATGTGTTGAAGCTGCACCATCTTCATCACATCTACTTAGCGTCACCAAGTGAAGAGGTGAATATCTTACCTGTGACTGGATATCTGAGATTTTACTCCAGGAAAATTCAAACTCACTCAGTGGAACCTGGAAAACATAGGACCCATGTCAACAGAAGCCAATCCCATTTAAAGACATGGTACAGTAGTGGAAATGATGGAATTATGTTATGCTAAGCTCTGTTCTAAATGAGAACAGCAGAGTTTGAGATGGTTACCTTGGCCTGTTTCAGGAAGCGGAGGAAGCCGAGCTCCTCTGGTCGGAGGATCAGGAGGGCGTGGCCTCTACCATTGATGCCCCTGGCTGTTCTGCCCACCCTGTGGATGTACTCCTGCAGATGGAAAGTAAAGCTTAAAAAGGAGTCCTAGTTAGGGCTGGGTACCGAAACCGAATACCAATATGGAACCAGTTTCCAAATGACCGGTACCTACGGGACCGAATCAGAATATAAATTTCGGTGCCACTTAAATGTGTTGATTGAACTATTTTCCCTCTGGTGCTCGGAAACAGATGTAAGAAGCGTCATCACCATTTGCCACAGTACAAATGTAGCGTCCCTCAGTCAAAGGCTACGAGACGACAGCTGGGTTCGCTCCGTCTTAATAAATGCTGCTGTACAGGATACTGTGAGCCGCAGCCTACGCCCCCCAAAAAAGCAAACCTCGCAGAGAGCTACAATAAACAGCCCTTTCTGCAGTCATAACAGTGAAGTTTAAAGCTGGTTTGTAGCATAATACGGACTCAAAATGGATTTTGCTGCTAGTCCTGTAACTGTTATATAGCCTATTGTTTTAGTTGGATTAGATGGTTTAGGTATATATACTGTGGATTTGTTCCGTAATTTTGTTTTTTGTACTTATATTTAAGTACACTTTAACCCCTTGAACTCTGCAATACAAATGGTCCGCCAGTGCCTACTCTGGTATTTTTGCCTATTGTGATGTCATTTCTTAGAGGGTCTTCAAATGCTGCATATACATAAAACTGTTACAACCTCTGCTAAAAGGTTATGTAAGTCAATAAACCATAATAATTGATAAAAGTATTGAAATTGAGTGAGAAATGAAAAAATACTAAAATCGGGCTTGTTTTCTCATAAAATTCTATGATGATTCTAATGATAGACCCGTCCCTTCTATATTAATTATGAACTAAACTATGTTAACTATGCTAAACTACTGAATCTTAGCGTTTCTCTCAATCTTTCTGAGACATTCCTGCTGTGACCTGCTTAGCTGTATTTGGCGTCACTCATCCGGCCTGTCACGTGAATTTTCACCACACGTAATGAAACGTAATGACATGACACGATTTTAAGAGGCTAAAGTAAACAAAAAGGGCTACAGAGGAAAACCTCTAGAGCCACCAAACATTTTCACGCCGTCTTCCACTGCAAGCAACTTAACGTGATGGCGTCATCGCGAGCGGACAACATGATGGCGGAAAGACAAAAAACATCAGCTTTCCACTGCAAAAAGAATGAATGCTCTAGCTGTGATAGTTTTCATTTTAGATTGATTTAAACATGATCCTACAAACAACGGACCTTCTGCACAGAGAGTTCAACAGTTAAAATAATGTTCAATTTAAAAAACCCTCTCTTTATTAATGTCTGCTTTTTGTGTACCTTGGGGTCATCTGGGGGGTCGTACTGGACGATCCAGTCCACCTCAGGGATGTCGAGCCCTCGAGCTGCCACGTCAGTACACAGCAGGATGCCGGAGTCGGCGTTGCAGAACTGGAAGAAGGTGGTGGTACGTTTGGTTTGCTTCTGCTTGCCCTGGGAACCAGAACGATATACACAGTTTTACATCAGCTGGATGTCTGAACACTATTTAACACGGTTAGGAGGTAAGGCACACGTCTTACATGGATGGCCATGACAGGCAGGTCGATGTAGTTGAGCAGTTCATAGTGGAATTTCACAGACATGCAGGAAGAGAAGAAGACCATCAGCTTCTTCTTGCGGTTCTTCTTCAGGAAGGTGAAGAGCAGCAGGAAGCGCTTCTCTGATGGGCACACCACATAACCCTGAAACACAACAGAGACCACTTTCTATCAGATTAATGTGCCTTAAGGACCTTCAAGGCCAGCCTACCTATAACTGACCACTGATCTAACTGAAACGTAGCAGACATACCTGCTCCAGGCCGTCCACAGTGGCGTTGTCTTTGTTGTCATCCACGCCCACATAGAGGGGCTCTCTCTTCAGGGAGATGCGGGCCAAGTCCTCCACCTTACGAGTCTGAGTGGCTGAAAACAGCATGGTCTGTCTCTTCTCTGGAGAAAACGCGGGCAGAAACAGTGATATAAAAAAACATCAGAGAGCAGTAATCTTAACTGACCATGAAGAGAACACACCAGTCTGTGAAAACACTAGTGTTTGTTCAAATCTGAGGAAATACCCCTGATGATGTCAGAGTTGCTGAGAAGGGAGGGCTTAACTCATTTTGGGAGGGATCCGTTGTTATTGGGAGCATATTATAGACTAAAAGTGAACCTATGCCACCTTTGCTGAGAGTTTGACCGTTATGTAAAACAAAAATCTCATATACAAACTCCTAACTTTATAAAGTGCAATAGTCAATTGCTCAAGTACAACAAAACAGATACGTACTCGGCAGCAGTTTGATGATCTGCTTCAGCTCCTCCTCGAAGCCCACCTCTAAGATACGGTCGGCCTCATCGATAATCAGGCACTGCAGGTTCTTGTACATGAACCCGGCCGTGTTCTGTAGACACAACAGTCGTTTTTTAATATTCCAATATTCAAAGTATTAAAAACAAACAGAAGCTGTAAAAACACAAAGCATTATAGCAGGACCACATCAATAAAACAACGATCTTGTGTTTGATAAAGCACCCGCAGCTCACTGACTTCTGAACTATTTCACACACTACTTGTGTCTGAATATATAGTTTCATCATCTTGATCGGGTGTTCAGCATGTACTGGTTCCAGAAGCAGTTCAACAGTCATGTTTCTGTCATACATCCCCTCAGGATCCCACCCCGCCTCACCTGGAGGTGGTCCAGCAGACGGCCGGGTGTGGCCACCAGGATGTTGACACCGTTGGCCAGTCTTTGGGCCTCAGCTGAGCGGTTGCTGCCCCCCATGATCAGACCATAGGTGTGAACGTGGTGGGCCATCAGCTCCTTCAGCACACCGTAAGTCTGCATCGCCAGCTCACGTGTGGGTGAAAGGATCACTACGCCGGTGCCTGGTGGGACGAGGAGGACATTAGTTACAGACTTTGACTCAACCTACATGATGCATTAGGTAAAAGCAACACGTTTCCCTCTCTGTCAGCAGCAGAGGGCTACGTGGCTACAGCCAGAAAACACTGAGGAGACAGGGGAGATGAACAGGAGCATTACCGTTCCTGGGCATGAACTTGAGTTTGTAGATGAGCTCTATAGACGGGATGAGGAAGGCCAGGGTTTTACCACTACCCGTCTTGGCAGCAGCCAGAACATCCCTACAGAGAAGCAAACAGACACACTGTGTATGTATCCACAGGTGACATTATGGTCCATCAGGTCCAACCAGCTGAGGACTATCAGAGACTTACCTTCCCTCCAGCAGGGGACGAATACTTTTGTGCTGGATCTCAGTCATGTGTTCAAAGCCCATCTCC